CTTGACTGCGTTATATTAAGGAGTGTATCTAATAAATTGCCCACCCTTTTGTCTTACATAACTATATTAAAAAGACCTTTCAATATAAAGAAAGGTCCTTAGTTACAGGGATTATTTAGAAAAGAGTATCAGTAGCATCTGCACTGACCTATTGTTAATGCAATATTCTGCATTGTTAATGTATATGTCTCCAAATCTGGCAGCCCTAATTAACACCTCTTTTATAAAACTGCTTACGGTTCCTTAAAATCTTCTGCAGGGCTGTTGCAAGTGTAGTTGTGTACTTAAGAACATGGACAGGAATTGTATATCCTAATGTAGGGAATCCATACAAAATCACCTATAAAAATGATCAAATGTTTAATACAATTAAGTGTGTTATGTTGTTTTACAGTGAACGTTTTACTTACAAAACAATAACTTGAATTTGCTCAGGCAGGATTGTTATTTTGGACCAAATAATTTTGTAAAATAATAATACAATACATTTCATGGAATCATATTATGAAACCTAATTTAATTTGTACAGAAGTACTTTATTTCAAATATTTCATCTAGGGGCAGTAGGGCTCTGAACCAGTCAGATGTGGCTTGCTTTGAGGAGCTCTAGTTCCTATAGCAAGCCACTTGTTCTTTTCAATGCTACAGACAAATCATGTCACAGGCACACAACCACTAGTCCTAGTCTTGGCAGCAGTGTTTGGAGGGCAGGCCAGCCAGGGCCACTCAGCTCCCAGTGACTGACAGAGAGCTCTGACCAATACTATCTGACAAGCCTTTGCTGGCATCGCCTGCTCTGCCTGCCACAGCTCCAGGTCTGCCCGGGTCAGCACTTTACATCAGGGTTGAGTAGGCAGACATGCAGACAGGGCACATGCACGCAGCTGGACCGCCACCAGCCCCCATCTGGGGCAACATAAGAGGTTAGATGAAGAATGTCTAGCCTCTAAAGTGGGATTTGTAAGTAGTAAAAGGGAACAGGCACTGATTTGCACAGATTAGGCTAAAAAAATGAGGGTTGGAGATTGGTGGCCCTATGCCAGGAATGTGTTGTTTGTGACCTGCCTGTCCTCTCTGAATTGATTAAAGCAAGGAGCTTGTTGTCGACTCGTTGGACAATAGTTAGAAGAAAGGGGCCCCCATACTCTTCAGAAGGCAAATGTATGCGATGCAGATGAAGGACACAACTGTAGAAGAATACAATTAATATAGTATGTGTGGGTAATATACGGAGTAAGAGTTGGTTATAAAATCACGTCACGGGCTAATCATTTCCCCCACAAGTATTTCTAACCCTGCAGACTTTGTTAATGAGTTATGGTATTGTTGAGGCTTTCTAAAATGACAACGATTTCCCCAGCTACACTGATTCAAAAACTGGATTAAAAGATCGACAAATAGGGGTTGATCATGATTAAACCTAAATATTATTATATTCATTAATCATATGCACACTAAATGGTTCAACGATCTTCATCGTAAGCACTATACATTGTTCAAAGATCTGAATAATGTACATACATGTTCAGGTCGGAGTCAGACAGACATATAAAGTACAGTTGGTTCTTGCCCTGTGGCACAAACCGAGCATAGCTTAATAAGCTAACGGGTTTATAGAGTTAAGGCGCTCTCGCTAACTGAGCTGATAGATTTGGTGGTGCATTTTAATGTGCTCTAGCCATTAGAGATGGCTCAGTAATGGTCTCTCAAGTATAAGGAAATACACTTGTATCTGTTGTATTCAAATGCATGGAAATGTCATGTATGTGGAGTTCTTGTTTGATTCTTGTAAATGTATAGACAAAACAATATCTCAATTAGATGTTATAATGATAATGTTCTATGACAAAAGTCCATTTATACACCTAAACTGCAGAAAGTACATAGAACACCCGTTTCTTAAAGAGAATGCTGTTCATTGTTATGCTTCCTGGTGATCCAGTTGCAACGCCTCATTTTATCCTGTAGTCTCTGTTAAACATGAGTCATACAGCAATATTTCCCTGCACAAAAGGGAAGGCAAGCAGAGCAAATAAAGGTAAAGCAGCTGAGGAATGACAGTCCTTGTACACATGTTATCATATTACAGGACCATTGCTTATTTAACGACTTAATGATTGTACAAACACAGGTCCAAAGTTCACCCACATGTACTAATGTGTGTTTGCTTGCTGGAACACTCGGTGTTTCTGCTGACTCAGCTGCCTTCTGGTGACCTCTAGGGGTTGCTGCAGGTAAATAATGGTTGTGCTGCAGTATTCAGAGTGGATCTCTGTTCTGCAGTGCCATGCTAGAGCAGTGAAAATGTCTGTGTCCAGCATTATTGTGTTAGCTGTAATTCATTAAAGCTGTCTAGGCTCTCTGTCCCTCGCTGTAAGTGGTCCCTCCTCTGACAGTTCCTCTTCCTTCTGCCATGTGATTGGTGCAGAGTGCTCATCTGGCAGTGATAGATGCCCTGATGGCCGTGGGAGCCATGGAGACGGTGACTGCGGTGAAGACATGTGGTTCTGCCGATCTCCTGGGTGGAGCCTCCAGCTGGGAAGAGGCTCTGCTTCATTGGGTTAATGGGGTAAGGAGTACACCCAGCAGACACAATGATTGTTATGAATGCACATGTTCATTGTTTCCTGTCAGAAATGATTTGTCGTTTTCTAAGATTATACAATGTCTAATTAGCTAAACAAATAAGGATGCTGTCACTTATTTGCCCACTGTGATGCATGTATGTTTGTGCTAACTATATTGTCTTCTTGGCATGCTCTCAGATAAATCAGAAATTAAGAGAACAAACTGAGGAAACCCAGAGTGACACATCTCAGGCCGTTATGGAGCCCCAACCTGTTCAACCCTCTGTAAGTATTGCATTACAAATGTAGTGTAAGGTTAGCGTCATTGCTTTGTCTTGTCCTTTCAAGTAAGTGACGTCTTCACTACTCTTTCTCACTAGTTTGTCTAGTTCTTCCACTGTAGGCTTAATACCTCTCCCTCTGCTCCTATTCTCCATTTCCTTGTCTTTCTCTATTTCCTGTCCCTCCTCCTTTCTGACAGTGTCCTACTCGCTGGTACTGGAAACTTGTTCCTGTAAGTTCCTTCCTTTCCTCTAGCCCTTGTCCCCTGTCCCTCCATCCCTCCAGTGTCTCCATCAAATGTATCAGCAAATATCTGAGGCTCAGGTTGGTTTTCTTTCTCCATGTGCTGGTGTGAGAATGCCAATTTGCATCACATCCTAATCTGCATTGAAGTGCACGTAACAGCGCAGGGCGGGGCTTTTGTTATTTGACACACGAGTGGCGCATGAATCACAAGTGGTACTCTAGCTTTCTTGAAACTGCCTTGCCCAACCGGTTCCTCTGGTCCTTGTGCAACAGAGGTGTGTGTTTGTGTGTGAATGGCTATGGGCATTAACAGACGAGCTTCTAGTCAGCTGGTCTCTGCAGACAGTGGTCTGTTTGTATATGTGCTGTGGTTGTACCTGAAACCTTTTTTTCTCCTTCCCTTGCATCCTGATACTCTCACTTGTCCCACTTTCTTCCAAAGAAATCCTTCTTTCTTTACGCTCTGATTAAGTCACTCACTTTGCATCTGCCATGTTTTTTTTAACCTAAGTTATTTTCTATACATAAGCATGACCTTTATGTGTTCTATTTTCTTTCATTCACAATGCAAATATGTTCTGACGCTTTCTATGACTTTTAACTCTTGTTTGGAAAAACCCAAGTTTGGTGTTGGTTGTAACATCACCTAATAAGTCAAATTTTAAAGGAATACTTTTCACACAAATAGATTATTTATCTATGAATTAGTTATCCTGTTAGTGATAATCAAATGGTAGTTATTTCAACAAAATATTCGTTTCGGAACACAGTGCAGTATTTCATTGTGTTGTTTGTTGTTGTGTTTTTTTAGCTGCGCTACAGGAAGGATAAAATACAGTCCAAACAAAAGCCAATCTTCCCGGTGGTGAATGAAGTCAAAGATCTGTCCAGTGGTTGTGCTGTTGCTGCAGTCATACATTACTACTGCCCTGGCCTGCTAAGACTTGAAGGTACTTGCCAACATGTATAACCACAAACATTTCTTTAGTACCTACTGTGTGTATGTTACTGTAACACTTTCCCCCTCTCTATTGAAGATGTTTGTATGAAGGAGTCCATGCCATCAGCAGAGAGCCTGTACAACCTGCAGGTCATCCATGAATTCTGTGAAAGCTGCCTGAAGAGCTGCTGTAACTTAACATTGGAGGACATGCTGTACACCCCACAAGAGCTTAGGGTACATACATCAACACTCCTGATTGATACCCTGACACAAATATTGATTGCTGTATTGTCTTCTTAATGCCTGATTTATTCTGTCTGACTTATTTAGCTCAACTGGCTGAGCTTCCTAGCAGAACTGCTTAGCTGGTTTGAAGTACAAAAGCCAGAATTTGTTCAGCCAATAGACCCGTTGGGTAAGTGTTGCCAGCTTTGTGGCCTTTTGTAATACTGTATAATCCTACCAGTAAGGTAATACATTGATTATCTGTCACAAAGTCTAATAACTTTTTTTTTGTTAGATGGATCCACACCTGTAACACCAAATCGTTCGAGTGGCAACAGGTACAGAATCTTTCGAAATATGTTTTTGCTTTTGTAGAAGTCTGGCATATTCTTAATTTGAACTGAAATATTGTTTCTCTGCCTTACAGTTCCTCCCCTTCTATCTTCAAGAAGCCTTTCCTTCCCATATCTTCTCCTGCATCAGGTACATTTATAACAGTGTCCCTTTATCATTGCATCAAACCCCAGTGTTTTGTACACGTTTATAATTTTACAATCTTGTTCACCTTTTAACATCAATCCTTGTTTTTTTATGGAACTTTGTGTATATATTTATTTAACTATTATTTGTGTATTGCTTCATTTGTGAATCCCTGTGTGGTGTGCATGCCTTTACGCATCTGTGTGTGTCCCGTTGTACTCAGGATCTTTGACTCAGTCTACCTCAATGTCTCATATAGAAGGAGTTGGAAAGACATGGAGTAAGAAACCTCTCAGGTATGACTCCTTGATTCAGTACCATATGAACTCTTTTTATTTTATTTATTTTTTTTACTTAATATTGCTTATTTACACTCGCCTTTTTTCTTCTTAGCCGCCCTCTGTCAGCAGTGTCCTTCAGCATCCCCTTTGGCCTGGACAGTGATGTGGACGTTGTGATGGGCAACCCTGTGATAACCCGCTCTATGAGCTCAGACCAACTCAACTCAGCAGGCCAACACATGACGCGGGTGCCCTACACTCCTCCTGAAGACCTCAGCCATTTGGTGAGCAAACCTCCTGGTCCACAGAGAGCGTCATGGTCCACCCAGTCTCCCACTATCCCAAGGGTGGCAGAGGAGAACGGCATTCCAGAGAGTGAAACGGGAGAGCTGCCAACAATTGAAGAGGCTCTCCAAATTATCCACAACGACAGCAAGATGGAGCCCCGTTTACACCCTGATGGTGCTCCTGATGGCTTTTATCTCCACTCTCCTGATTACCCTGCAAGTTCTAGACATAACATCAAATTAGCACCCATCAGCTGCTCCGCCCCTACACGCTCAGGAATGATGTACCGGCCCACTGGAGAGTCCCGGGAGTCCAATCGCACCAGAAATACCTCCGAATGCTCAAGAGATGATGACTCGGTCTTGAGAGACGGCAGTGTGGACTCAGACGCATCAGAAGACTTTCCCAAGGCCCAGTCCACTCCATCCACACCAGCTGTTAGCGCACACTCTGCCGGAGGCCATGGCAAAGAGGGGTCTGATAGCGGTGTGAAGATGACCAGCTTTGCAGAACGGAAAAAGAAGCATGTTATGGATTCTCCAAAAGCCAGTGACTCCTCTCCTTCTTCTCAGCAGATGACCACTTCGGCACAAAAGTCTGATGAAAGCCCCAGCAAGAGCCCACAACTGAATAATGAAATGTCTGAGCTGGGAACTCGGCTTGAGGAAAAGCGAAAGGCTATCGAAGCCCAGAAGAAACGCATTGAGGCTATTTTTGCAAAGCACCGTCAAAGACTAGGGAAAAGTGCCTTTCTGCAGTTAAAAAAGGAGCAGCATGAGGACGAAGGTGAAGGTGAGGGAGGGAATGGACATATCAGTACCTCATCCACAGAAGAAGAGCTCTCTCGCTTGAGACTGGACGAAAAGTTAACTCAACTGGAAGAGGAAGAACAAGATGAACAGCGCCTCTTAGTGGAAGATGACGGAAATGTCAAAGGAGGACTTCAGGCAAATAAACAGATCAGTCACTCCAAAGAAAAGGCAGGTACACCAGGAGAGAAGGGCCCTGGGACTCCTGGTGAGAAAACGGTAGCTCCACTAGGGGACTATAACAATGCTGTTTCAAAGCTGACTGCAGCTCTTAACTCTCTGCAGAGTGACATGCAGCGGCTGACCGATCAGCAGAACCACCTAGTCAATAAGAAACCTCTAACTTCCAGCAACAAATCCTGGGTTATTCCACCAAGCCCTAAAACTTCAACTCCAGCCCCTACTCGTCTGTCGCGGGAATCAACCCGAGATTTAAATTCAGCCTCCTCTTCTCCCTCTCCATCCCGCAAAATTACGCACTACACCACTCCTCCTAAGTCCCCGAGAGTCCAACGTAGGGCCCAATCTGTTCCCCCTAAAAGCCCGAAACACCACCAACAAAGTCGTCCCTCCGAGGTTAAGGTCCCAACCATCTCAAGGGTGATCACCGCACCACAAAACGTGGACCGAATCCCCCACCTTCGTCGTGTAAATCCCTGGCAATCCCACGACCAGACTTTGTCCTCATTCTCCATTGGTGATTCTGACGGCCAAGACGAGCTGCGGTCATCTGGACCAACTCCTGTCCCCACGCCGACACTGACCCCAATACCACCTCCTACCCCGACTCCCCGTCCAGCCACAGATGACACACTGTCAGAGGTGGGCTCCAATGACGATCATAGTATATTTAGCATGGACCTGGAGGCCGGGCCCTCGCATGGTAGGAAGGAGGGGTTTGCACATGGAGGATACAGCTCTGGTGCACCATCAGAGTGCTCCTTCGAGAGTGATGTCCCTGCAGGGCTGTCGAATGGCAAACGCAGTAGCCTGATCGAGATCTCGCTGTCTGCCCTGCGAGGAGATGGGGAGGAGGAGGACCAAGTGCCTGATGCTCTCTCTGACTCCATAAGTGAGCGGACTGAGATGGAGGCAAAAGGAGGGCTTGGTTTCTTTTTCAAGGTAGGTCACTGATTGTTATTACAAAAATGCTGTTTTTCTAAGGTCAGTTCATTCATGCCTTTTTTTAAATGTTATTTATTTATTGTTAGGATGACAAAGAGCGAACAGATGAGGAGATGGCCCAGAGACGAGCAGCTCTGCTGGAGAAACAGCAGAAGAGAGCAGAAGAGATGAAAAGACGCAAACTTGAACAGGAAAAAGAAAAAGAATTAAAGTGAGACCTGTTATTTTTTTAAATTTTAATAACTGTGTTTGTACCCAAATATAGGCTGTAGCATTAGTATCTTACATTAGGTTTGGTCAAGTTTCGACATTACTGTAGTTTCAAGTTTTTGCAGCTTATAACTGACGATTATTTTCGATGTTCTGCTTCATTGTCCTTGTGAATTAAACACATTACCTGCCTGATAAATCAAATTGAAAGTTTTACACATAAACTTTCTATGATTTTAGCAAACCTCAGTGGATGACTATTGAGGGCTGGGGGAATAAGGAGGACAGGCCCCAGACTCCAGGCACCCCCCCAGCATCAGGCACCCCACCTGGCGATGGGACGCCCCACCGCAGAGGGGACTTCACACGGCAGGAGTATGAGAGGAGACATCAGCTGAAGATCATGGAAGACTTGGACAAGGTGCTGAGGCAGAAACCCACCACGGTTCGCGGGGTCAAGAAGCAGAGGCCCAAGACTATGTTCAGAGATGACTCAGTCCTCTCTCATAGCCCTGCCAAAGGTTTATTGGGTACATATTTCTGATGTTGAATCACCTAGGTCTTTGTATGCCCTTGTCCTACACACATTTTTGTTTCTCATATTTTAAATGTGCCTCCTTCTAGGCACCAGGCTGAATAAAGTGTACTCTCACTCCACCATGAACCTGTCCTCCATGGCTAACGACTTGAGTGTCAGGAAGTCTCCCAGGTAACCTGCACACTGCTGATGGCTTCTCTTTTATTGGAAAAAGGGATGCACATATCCTGTGTTCTGATTGTTGAACAGAATAATCATTTGAATTCCAAAAAGGAAAAAGAGGGTCTTAAATATCATGTTAGTACATTTTCTTCGATAAAATAGAGCTGGGCAATATATCATTATAATATAAGATTAACTATGATTCAGTGGAGTAAAATTAACTGAAGAAGTACATCCTGGGGATGAAGTACACAATTATTGATCACCTTAATGTGTCTGTAAAAAAATGTTTGCCAGCACCAAATGCCAGCCATAAAATATGATATGTAATTGCATACCTACTACATGTTTTCTGGTAGCTGTAATCCGTGTTATCAGGGGCAAAGGTACATGCAATACTGTTTGTCTACTGTATGCACATACAGCCTCCGAACTGACTTGCCTCCATTTTACTCCTTCTAGCCGTTCTCATTCTCCTTCTCGGCTAATGTCACCAAGACGAACAAGTGCTCACAACGGAGAGAAGGACTGGGAGAATGGCTCCACTATTTCATCAGCTGCTTCAATCCCAGAATACACAGGTCAGTAATTATTCAAACTTAAACTTAATTATGTTGAAATTAATAATGTAATAATTGTTTTGATGTATTTATGGAATGTGGAAATGCTGTGTTTTGCAGGACCAAAGCTTTACAAGGAGCCTAGCTTTAAGTCCAATAAGTTCATCATCCATAACGCTATCACCCGCTGCTGCATGGCCGGCAAGGTCAATGAGTCTCAGAAAAATAAGATTGTAGAGGTAAGCAGAAGTCCCCTGTAACTAGGCTATAATTGACTGTGATCTTTGTCGGCTAAACTCACCTTGAGTTTTTGTTTTGATTTTCAGGAAATGGAGACGAGCATGGCCAACCACTTCCTCATCCTCTTCAGAGATGCCAGCTGCCAGTTCCGGGCAGTTTACACCATGAACCCTGAAACTGAGGAGATGGTGCGGCTCACTGGCATCGGACCCCGGTGTATTGCACCTGAGATGGTTGAGTCCATCTACAAGTACAGCTCTGATCGCAAACAGTTCACTGCCATCCCGTCCAAAACTATGTCCATGAGTGTTGACGCCTTCACCATCCCTGGTCACTTTTGGCAAAAGCGCCCTGGAACTCCCAAGAAGCTTGGAACCCCAAAATAATGTCGGTAGATGAGTAAAGATGTGCAGAGGTGTTACTATTCAGGGAACCAACTCCCAACTTGATTTGGCCAGCAAGGCACTTGCGATTGTGCAGTTAAACAATGACAGAATGACTGATCAACATGGACGCTGAGTATAATCCAGTCAACTCTACACGCCAAGAGAAAGGGCCAGTTACTCACCCATTCAGCCAATGTATTTACAATAGTTTTCTCTTGAGGGCTTCTGATTGGCTCTGCCTCGTCTACTAAGATTGTAAAATGTAATGCGAATAATCCTGTTGGGACGAAAAATCCTCTTTCCTTTGCACCCTGTCTCCTCATGCCTTGCCTTACCCTGGTCGTTTTTTGCAACTCTTTGTAAGAAGTAAGAAATAGAGAGGTCGACCTCACTGCCTTTGCACCGAAACACTGATGTGTGCAACAGTGTTTCGGGCCAGAGTAGTCCCCGCCCCTTTTCATTCTGCTCGCTTTTTCCTTTTGCTGCCTTTTGTTAATTTTCCAGTGCTCACCCTCTCTCCAGTCTACACAGACGAGTGGAGCAACTCACCGTTCAGACTGGAGATCTAAGATGAAAATGAATAAGGGGTAATGCAGCTCTCATATGAATGTAGGGCAAACACTTACCACTCACTCCATTCAAGGGTGTTCTCACTGGTTGGTCAGGACTAAAAAATTAGGTTGTGGGTGGTTCCTCTTTGGGCTGCACTGGTGGTGGATACTGTTGTTGTCAATGGTTTTGCACACCTAGAGACTGCCTGTGGTCCCATAGTCCGCACATCCCACTCCATTCCAACTCCTCAGCTGTAGACATCTGGATGTTTTTTTTATACTATTTTGACATGTTTTTGCTGGACAAATCGCTTCAGCCTTTGGGAGCTGAAGGAAGAATGACATTATTGAGACTTTTTTTCCTCTTATCATGCTTTCTAATTTTCAACATGTGATGAATTGAAATGATATCTGAGCTGATCTTGAAAAACTAAACTGGAAACATGAAGGAGGGCTTTACCATGTTTATAATTACATGGATACAGCTCTGTGTGAAAATGATAATCAATGCTGATTTAATATATACTGAATGCTGATTACTCTGATTTTTTTTTTTGGACAATGATATGTAAAAAGTTAGTTGACCTTTGTAAGCTACCAATAAGCTAGCCTGCTGCTTAAGCATTAGTGAGAAGTATGTTTGAGATGTGAATGAGTGTATGAGAATTGTCAAACAACTGAAAATTGAAACCTTTTGTCTTGGGATTAATAAATCCTTTAGGTCACTAGGAGTCTGTTTCCTATTAAATGATTCCCTGTTTGTGGTTTTCTTGATGAAGGATCATTCCAGACTGTCACAGCCCTCACCTTCTCAACACAGACTCCTTTATGTATAACGGGGGGGAATGTAAGGCGCCAATGTAAAACACTTTTTTTGCCAGTGAGTCCAAGCGGTTTGGAAAAACACTTGACCCTGCAGTTGTTTGTAATCAGGTCAATATTGCTACATAACCTGTGGTAATTTGGTCTTGTTCCCTTCATTTGCAGTCTTTAGCACTACAGCAGCTGCCGTGGTGCAGCTGTCTTCTTCACTGACTGCCTCCACCAAATGTTATTGTTTGAATGAGATTCCAATACAGATGTGGGAAAAAAATGAGAGCCACATTTAGGGAAAAAAAGATGATTGAGTGTGGAGGAGTGCACATGGACTTAGTGGATGTTTGTATTTATGAGTTTGTAAAGAGTAGTATGTGGTAGGTAAACACTATAATTTGATTCTGTGCAATTATCCCTTAAGAAATCCCCACGTCCCCCAGAGGTGTATTTATTTGGTTTGCATTAGATGATGCGTTAGATGTTTAGCTTCAGGTTCCACTTATGTCTTTTTTGGTTAAGGTGGTAAGTCTCTCATTCATTTCATTTCATAGAAATTGTCATAACATTTATGTTGTTTTCTTTCTCTTCTGTTTCCAAAATCTGTGCCAGCACATTATGTATGATCATTTCATAAATTGACTATCCTTGTCAACTGGACCAGACCAATAAAAACCCTTTTAAAATCATCATCTATGTTTAGTCATTCTCATGTTTATTTTCCCATTTGCATTGTTTATTAGAATTTTGAATAGGAGTATTTGTTATCAGTGTGTGCCACTAACCTATGAATGAATGAGAAGAAAAATAGCTTTCCTGGCTGATCCAGAAAAAACAACACTAACCTGTAAACGCTTGAGTTATTAAAGTTATGGGTTTGAAGTACAGAGTATCAAGATACCACTTTTCTTTATTCAATTAAGCATTTTTCTTTTGTTTTCACACACATTACAAACATCAGGGTAGTGCTTAGTTCTCTGTCTAACAATACTGACAGCAAACATATTGGCTGTGATAATACTGTTAATGATGGGCATCCGAGGAGAATTAGGAGACAGGTTGAATGTTGATCCTGGACCACAAATGTTACCGTCAATTCTGTCATTGAACTGAGATGTGCTGTTAAAGAGATGTTTACAATTTCCAACAATGGGTCAAAAAAAGGTAAAAACTGCTGTTGTGTCTGAAAGGCCAAAAAGGGACTTAAAACTCACAGCAGTAAACTGTGGCTGTTCTATCTTGTGTCTTTAAAAATAGAGCATTTTCTCAGTTATGCTTGGTGTGCAGCATCTCAGTGAGTAGAGAGTTGCAGGGCAAATCTCCCAGAAGGTGGCGCTGGTACAAATACTCCTCAACCTGGAGGCTAATGCTGCGTACTTCAGGAAGCCGTAGCAGCAGCTGGCCAAACTTGTCTGAGTGTCTTGGATGACTCTGCTGGGTGTGCTCCATGAGGGCTCTGTTTACCCTCTCCTGTGTCTGCTCCACCTGCCTGCGACTCTGGACTGACTTCACATCTAGACAATAAAAAAACATCAATGCCACTTTTCTCATCATCACAAAATACATTCATGCATACACCCTAAATGCAGGTGCTTAGAGAGATATTGTGATATATTAAAGGTCACCTATTGTGCAAAATACAAATATCTCGGGGCGTTGGGAGCGGCTCCTTATTTACATCTAAAGTAAAAGACAGAGAATCAGCACTTTTGAAAAAGGCCTGAAACAGAGGGGATTATGGGATGCTACAATGGGTGATCTGTTTGGTATTTCGAGCCAAACACTTCAGAGACATGTTTTGTATATATCTGAGACCTATAATATATTGATGAAAAACAGTATAATAGGGGACCTTTAAAAGAAAGATGTACAACTTAAAAGTGACTCAGTTGTTCAAAAAGCTACACCAGATTTGTATTTTCTATAAAGCGCCTATAAAAAAAGAAGCTCACCAGGGTTGAATAGCACCAAGTGTTTGAGACAGACAAATTCTTGTCCGTCCAGCTTTATTGACTTCAGTTTGTATACTAAATCCTGAGTCCTCGATACCAGGCTGCTTAGTGTCGGTCCTGCCTGAGAGATGATGGTTGAAACATCAATCTGCATAAGAATAAGAGAAAGGTTGTTTATGTGCAGCCCATAACAACACAAATTATTTATTTTGCAATGTTGAGTTTAGTCTTTACCTGCTGTCCTGTGACCAGATATATGCAGCCCTCTTTGCTGAAGGTCACTTGTCTACAGAGGTGATCCAGGACAAGCAGCTCACTCCAGCAGCTCTGCAGCAGCACCATCTGGTCATCCACCTGTGGAAAACACAAATAATGTATCTGATGTAGTTACAAATAAAAGACTACGACCTTTGACCTCCTGTAAGCACCCAACAAATTGCACAAAGTGAAGGTCTCCACATACAGCTAATTGCTACTAGTCCAAAATGCAACTTTATAATCTCGCAATGTATCACCTTGAGCTCTTTAAAGAGTGCGCTGTTCCTGGCCCACTCCACAAGCCCAAACAGGGTCTGGTCAGCCATTTTGCACATGATGCTGAATGTATTTAGACGGTCGTGTTTGCCTCTGTTGGCTTGTTCTCTCTGCAGACTGGCGAGCACCTTGGAACACAGCTGGCTCTCATCGGGCTCCCCCTCCAGGAGTTGACTCAGGAAGTTGGGTGTAAGAGTGCCTGATGTGTAGTGGGTTTGGGTGGGAGCTCGGGAGAAAGGAATGGCGGAGTTTGGCGTTGGGCACGGGGATTGTGTTGGTGTGCTTATTGGTGTAAATGAATCATTCAGACTTGGATGCACATAGTTTGCTGGAGCCGGGCTGTAGCTAAAAGTCATTTCTCCTTTCTCCTGCAGGTATCCAGGGTAGATGCGGTGGTATAGTCCAGGGTAGGGCAGCGAAAGAGGGGTGAGCTCCCTGTCTGCGTTCATTTCGCAGTCTATAGGCATGGGTGCACTCGACTGCCCCATGCCAGAGGGATACATGTGGGACTGATGGAAAGTATCAGAAGACAATGAAGCACTTGTGTGATGGCTCATTAGGTGAGGGTCATTTGGAGCTGAGGGTCGGTGTTGTTTTTGAGTAGTTTCCATTTTAATCCTGTAGGGAGCAGTGTTTGTCTGGTGACAAACCTTTCGTTGTTTCATCTGCCTGTCCCGCCGGTACAGTGGGCCAAATTTATTCCTGCCACCTCTCATACGATCTGCTCTTATCGCTGTTAACAGAACGTGAAACAAATGATCAAGGTTTTACAACAAGACCTTAGACATTCGCAGAGATAATTCATTTGAAACACTCTATATCACTAATATAAACTACATATTTTTGAAGGCTCAGATACAAAGTTGTCATCTGTTATCTGAGTCATTACATCACTCATTTACGGCTTAGATAAGTCATATGGGAGAAGGAACATGCATGTCAATGGAAAACAAGGCCTGTCACAATGGAGCAGAATACAAGTTTTTTTTTTTTAAAGGCCTGAGCAAACGTGTGTGTTTCTGTCTTTTGCGTTGGGGCTGTGTACTCTACCCTCTCTCTTCATGCCCACTGCCAAACACTTTTGGAAGCGACATGAAGGACAACGTTTCCTCTGCGAAAGGTCCATAGGGCAGCTCTGTTGTCCTGCACAGGTGTAACGCTTGTTATTCTGCACTGAGCGCTTAAAGAAGCCCTGCAGAGAGAGAGTTATCTTAAAAATCAACATTTTCAATACTTAGACTGGTAGTTTCATACAACCAAGAATATAACACATTTAAAAAAAATCTTGTACAAAAATGGAGGTTTTCAATATTTTGAAAAACATCTTTAAAACACACTTTTATCTTTAAATCAACTAGGCTTCCCATTTATTTAAAAAACCTAAAGAGAGAGAGAAAGAGAGAGAGAGAGAGAGAGAGAGAGAGATAGAGATAGAGATAGAGAGAGAGAGAGAGAGAGAGAGATCTTTTTGCTTCATCATTCTCTCCACATAGGTCAATCCTGAGTGATATAACAATGTTTTCCCATCACTTACCTTGCAGCTCTCACAAGTGAGCAGTCCATAGTGGTATCCCGACACTTTGTCTCCACAGATGGGACAACTCTCCTCTGGCTCTGCTCTGCTGTCAGGCTCTGCCTTTAATTCCTGACCTGGAGAATGACCCACAATTAAATGTACAATGTACAAATGAATGGTAGATGTACAGTATGATACAAACTTTGCATACTGAAGGCCAAAAGGTGATTTACAGGTGCTGGTTATTAAACGTACGGGTGATGGTGATGTCACAAGCTACTCATTTTTTGTTTAAATGTTGATACAGAGAAGCCAAAATACAACACTATATTACAGTTTTCAAGTGTAGATAATATCTAATTAAAAAAAAGATCTGAATTCTGTCACTTAAAATATGTATTTTTATCATAACTTCCATCTACACAAAATGCATAAAGAAGAGTTTGTTCTAAGGCCAACAGACTCAAACACATTGAGGATATTGTATTTGATCATCTTTGAGAAACACATTCAACATCTTTCTACTCCGGCAAGTCCATTCAGAGGTTCCGTGCTACGCTGCTGACATAAGTGTCATCTAATGGGGTCAATTGCTCAGCTGTTGAGAAAATAGTGAGCAGTAAAGGGCCTCTGTTACAGACAGTGTCTTATCACTCAACTTGATTTGCTTGATTACCGATATGACCCTTACATAATTTCCAGTCTCCCAAATGAAAATCTGTAAAAAACCCGAGAACTAATTTGAATACTTCAATTCATAATAAATATTGTTAAACTCAAATATTTATTCCTTTATTACGCTGTACAAATTCAGAAGTTTTACTGAAACCTCTCAAAGTCTTCCTATCTTATACTCACATGTTGAAGATTCTTCCAATAATAACAGATCCTCTGGGTAGTTTCCAGGGTGATGGAAGAGGGGCTGTGTTTGTGGTTGGTGATAATCAGGTAGGTCCATTCTGTCTGAGGGGGCATGAGAGTCAGTCCAGTCTGATCTTCATTGTTGCAGAGACCAGGAGAGCCAGAGAAGACCGGCTGGCAGGCCCAACTGCCCCGGTGGACTGGTGGCCCACAAGCGGACTTCGATCAGTAGTCTGTCATAAAACCTCTCCTGACTGCCACTCCTACCCAGTCACTCAGTCAGTCAGCCAACCAGCCCCTCCATTGGGGACAATCAGATTTCCACCTGCTGAAATGTAACTATAGTGAAATCACTCCAGTACCGTTGAGCCATCCAGGAGCTCTGCTGATAAGATAAGGGTCTACTGAAGAGGCAGTTAATCACATTCATACATTATCATTGTGTATTGCAATTGAAATGTAGGCAGTGGTGTGGGAAGAATATGGGTCTTTTAATTAGTACTAGTTAAACACAGTTAAAATATTCTACATTATGAGAAAAAGCGTGTCTTTCTAAAGCTTAAGTAAAAGTACAGGTTTAATCAGAAACATGTTTTTTATGTTCCAAAAGTACAAGTTCTTGTTCTGAAAAAACTGGACCCTTTGGGAATATTATATAGGACACTATAAGATTGTTTATAAAGTGGCATCAATGTGAAGAAACTTCTTACTGTTTGAGCAAGTTGAGGTAGAGCTACTTTGAATTTTTGTTGATATACAGACACACACATGTATATACAGCCCAATGGTTCTCAGCACAAGGGTTAGATAAGAGACAGATCTGAGGCATTGTGAGATGCTTAATGTGGTAAGCAAGATAATATATGGTTAAAGGTGGGGTAGGTAAGTTTGAGAAACCGGCTCGAGATCGCTAGAATTTGAAAATACACAACCGGAGAAAATCTGCCACTTCCTTATAGAGCCCCTCCTTCAACACACACGAACGCGCACATGACCAATGAGGGCACGAGATAAGTTTGTGCACAGATGGAAGGCTGACAGGCAGGTAGGCCATCCAGTTATTTTAGCCGGGCCGGCTAAAATGATTGGTCGTACTTTTTACAGTATTACGGCTTCCACAGATGACATTTTTTTTATGGATTTTTTGTCAAAGCACTTAAGATATTCATTGCTATCGGGATGTTAAGAGCATTCCATGGAATATAACAAAAAGTGTATCTCAAGCCGGTTTCTCAAACTTACCTACCCCACCTTTAAGCTACAAAGTTGTTCTTTACTTTTTTCAGTTACAGTACTTGGGTATTGTAGTGACCTTCCAGCACTGAATTTAAGTTAAACATAAACTGTTTATTCCTGAGTATACCATTATTTGTTTACATCAGTTCTTCATTCAAGGAAAGTGCAGTAGAATCAGGAAACTTTGCTTTGCTCATTAAAACACAGTATTAACCAGCCATTACATTGTTCTGCATCCTAAGCCAGCACCTCAGATGATCAATTTAGCTGCCAAAATGGAACCGGCCGCTTTGATGAAGCTCACAGTGACGTCAAAGCAATAGAACAGTTCAAGGGTGGAAGGTTTATGGCTCCAGCACATTAGCTTGTAAATGGATTATGACATTTAACAGTAGAAAAGTTGCCCCGCTATATTCTCAAGTATTTCTTCTAACACCTCTACACTTCTCTCAGAGGGTACATTTTCAAAATATTCAACAATCCTTATCACGGTCACTAAAAAGCTAGTTTGTGTCATCCTCCAAGAAGTCATAGTATTTTTTTATTTAGTGCCATCTGGTGGTATTGTAGAATGGAACGAACATAAATGGGTAAGAACAACATAAATCACAAACAACAATAAATCACTGCAAAAGGGTAATTTTATTGAAGAAAACAGAAAGCCAGCAAACAAGCTGGTTTAAAAAAAGTCTACATTGTATATTCAACTAATTGAAATTCATCAGCCTTTTAAAAATCAGTGCTCTCACTTGCAGGTTGTTTGTATGACACATTATAACCTGAAGCAGCTACAACATCTCTTCATAGAGGCTGTCATTGCACAGGGCTCAACCCATCTCCTCACTGCTGGAACACACCGGTTCACCGTTCACAACATACCACACCTCATTGTAGCTGTTAAACATCTTCTTCGGACTGCAAGAAACAAATACACACACACACACACACACACACACACACACAATACATTTATGGCCAAATATAAAAACATTAACACAAGTTTTTCTCTCATCAACAATTTTCTTTTTTGGTTATCACTAAGAAAATGAGGGAGATTTTTTTACCTGTTATATCCAACAGCATAGTTGTGGTCTTTGTCATAGTTTGCACCCGCCGAGTCTAGGTCAGAGGACAGAGCATACGCTTCGCTTTTGTAGAGGAAGCTTGACATCAATCCTTTATAGCTCCGTACATACACCTTCATTGCGTCCATGTGACCGATCTTCACCTGCAAGTAAGCAACAATGTTTTATTATCTGCTGAAGCTGACAGATAACTCACATAATTAGTTCTCAAGAAAATGTTTTTTTTATTTTTCTCCAATGTTTTTTGACATAAAGGCTTACCTTCCTATCATTAGGTCTGGGGGGATTGGCCTGATGTTCAGCGGGCATCAAGAAACTCATTGTGTAGGTATACTTTTTCATACCGAATATAGAAAAAGATGACGTGTCCTCAGCGATGTTTATGATAACAGGAGCTGTCATTTCAATGTCGAAGTCTGAAGGTAAGCACCATAAAAATACAAGTGTTATTTTTTTAAGAAATGTCTCAAAAAGTAAATGCATAACAAAAAACAAAATGTTAGGGCTTATACATCAGATCAACTATTTCTGCTCTCAAGGACAACTCAATATTGTAATTATAATGTCAGGGAAAAAAACTTTTCAATTTGAGCTGCACCACATATTGAAACAAAGTAGTACTATTTTTTATACTATGTTCCTGGCAAACACAATGATTAAAACATATGAAAACATTTTACTCTTTACATTACACTCTCATCCTTCTATTTAAATGCTAATTAATGTTCTCTGTAATGTTTAACATCTGTATTGTGTATTCAAATGTTGTGCTGTTTTGATTTTCTGTTTTGAGTCTTCTCTTTCAATAAAACATTAAATAAAAAAGATAAATAACCACCCTTGATGTAGTTAAACAGTCTGCGGAATAATGGGAAGATTGCAAAGTCCATGAAATAGCTTTTCTCTTCAGTCCAAACCCATGTCACATTGCCATAGTCACGGACCTGAGAGGCAAAAACAAACAAATGAAGCTCAGCGCAAGTTCAACCAGGAAGACCGTCTTTACTCATTCATGTATTTCTATTCCTATGTTATTACTCTCTCTCCTCTCAATAAGTGACCGGGGGCGTCACTCTTCAGCTTAACCAATCACTTCGCTCTATTCCCAAGAGCCTATCATAGCGCTCTGTCAAACCTTTTAAATCTGCTCTCCCCTCTGACAGCTCTCATTCCAGGTGAATCGGCGCAACCCTCCTCCACCCCTTATCACCTCCTGTCCCTCTGAATCCAGGGTCAAGCTAAACCCCTCCTCTTCAGACCGACCCAACTATCCATTCACCACCACCAGTGTCTAGACCCCAGGGGGGTTTCATCGGATCGGTTCAACCCTCCCGAATGATACTTCCTGCACAACGGGGCCTAATCGCCAAAATTACCATTACATTCATTTGTGCATCTGCGCAATAAATATGTATTATTACATCAAAACCGTCTCTCCTGATTGAAAAGGGAGTGGGCTTTGAAAACAATTTGCACCTCAAATAGGAACGGGTTTGTCTTTGCACACTTACCTCATATTCATCAGTCTTACAAATGGAATCAAACAGCAGACACTGTTCGGTCTCAGAGCAGAAGTCAAGTTCAGAGGAGCTCCTGTGTATTGACAGAGACATTTATATATTTAAAAGAAAAAGGCAGAAATGCAGACATCAGGGAATATACTAATAAACAGTATGAAGTGTTCTTGTCAACTAGATTTATGACAGTTTTATTTAATGTATAAAATATAGCAGTAATAAACTTTGCCGAGATCTGAGTAAAGTATTTTTTTAATCTGTAACTTTAGTCAAATGCAGGCAAGAATCTACAAACATGAGGATTAAATTCAGGTTTCTTACCCAATTCTGGCCTCAGCCGTTAGCACCAACAGGAAGCCAACAAGTCCTGAAATGTAAATCCTAGAACACACAAACAATATTTTCCAAAATATTGAACAAGCAATTGTTGTGCATTTGAAAGTTTTCATAGCATTTCAAATGAGTTCATACACTTGGAAATACTATGCATTGATTTTCATGTAAGACATCTGAACAATAAAAGTATACTTACATCATAGCAGAGTGTTGGGTTCTGTGCTTCTGAAGTTGGATACTGAGAGTCTCGTCCAAAGCATCCTTTTATTCCAACCCTGCTTATGAAAGGAGAACTGGCCACTCCCTGAACCCCTAACGCAAACCAGACAACAGATTTTCACAACCAATCGAAACGCAAAGCAGAAAACTGGGAATAATTATGAAACAGAGAGTCACGCTAGGCTGCACGTGTCATTTATATCACACATTTTATACTAACAATTTAGATTATCTTAAGGGAGATTTATTTTAGACTCCTCTGTGATAGGGGGTTGTTACGTGCCGTAGTGTTTGTGTGTGTGTCTTTCTCTCTCTCCCTCTGATTCCCCAGGTGCAGCCTGATTGTCCCCAGGTGCAGCCTGATTGTCCCCAGGTGCTCCTAATTCCCAATCAGGGCCTCCATATAGGACCGGAGGAAGACTGCAGTGAGCCCCCATTTTCCTCCTCTGGCTGCATGTGTATAACCTGTGTTCTGTAGATCAATAAGAGATGTGCTCCTGGATATGGGACACTAGTTTAAATGTGCAAGTTAGCTGGTGAGCAGCCCGTGTTCTTTTTTTGACTATTAAAAGGCCTGTTCGTGACTCCAGAGAACGGTTTCCTCTCTTTTTTCTCGTGTTTTGTTACTTCCCTTGGTACCCCTAGATTTGGAGGGAACGTAACAGGGGTGAACACATTTTCAATGTTTAACACTACCCAACACAACAGCACTGCAACAAATACATAACTTTGAAAGATTAGTTTGTTCAGACAGCCAGTGATAGGTGAAGATATTACTGTTTTAAAACAATAATCTAAATATCAGCTAAAAGTGCCAATGTATAGTTGAGTGATATTTGTGTGCATGTGGGTCAATGTGTGCAACATGACTGTAGGAGCGTAGGTGAGACAGGTTATCTTAGTCTGGCTGGCTTCATATAGGTTCTACACTTTTGCCTTCAATTTGATCTCTTACTCTGGAAAGTATATAATAGACAATTGTACAATTGTATGCTTAAAGTCATTGTCTGTCTTTGTGCAAACCTCAACAGTAAACTTCAAACAGACTATCGAAGGTAAAATGCAAAAATAAACATTCTGAACTATTTATTGAGCGTTTTTTAGATATAATTTTTTGGTCGTTGTTGAAGTGTGGTCCCATGTCCCCACTGGTCATCACAATACACTAGCACATACACTCAGTGGTCACTTACTATGTACACCTTTGGTCCAATGCAAACCTGTTTTTCAATCACTGTCTATTTACTAGTTGGTGGTTCAAGTTTCATCTCTCAATGAATGAAATGAGGGAAACGCCTTGTTCCCATGCCGTATTATTTACCACCATATTGTACAAAATGTCTTAAATAACAACCCTGGACACACACAAACAGAAACAAACAACTGGGTTGGACAGCAACTATGTAAGATTCATGTAACATAAGAAGTCCGAACATTGCATCTTTTGTGATAGATTTTTGTACCTGCAGAAAACGAAATCCCCATTTCAAACAAATGCATTCTACCACAAGACAAAAGGTTGAATCTCGCCCATACGTTTAAAAGATAAGAGAGTTTTGGTGCACGACATAGAAGAAAACTGTGTGCTGTTGAGGTAGGAGGTAGATGGACGGTGGTCTGTCAATTGGAGGGTAGGGAGTTTAAACCCCAGACTTGCAGTCAACCTCTTGAAGTGTGCTTGCCCAAGATAAAAAATGTCCCCTAAAAGTAGTTATTCAAATGTGTTATCTGATGTTGTAGTATTTTTTTTTAAATGTTCATTTTAATACTGAACATACATCTTTATTTCAAAACTAAAAAGAAGATGTTTAAAAGATAGAAATACTAAAGTAAAACCAACTGGTAAATTGGCAAAGAAGAAGACGTTCTTGTTTAATAGTATTATTGAAATTATAATATTCACCTGAATACCCCAAGGTCTCATATTTGACCTCCTGTTCACTGTATAACTCAGGAAAGTTTGGTAAAAATAAATAATGTCTTATTAAGTGAACCTAAAAACTGCTGGTATGGAACTTTTCCAGTGCAGTAACAAAATGCTGCAATAGTTTGTCTGAAGGACATAATTAAGAATTTTAAGAAAACAGTAGATTTTTCATAACATATTCATATGTTATGGAAATACTAAAATCCATAAAACAAACCTCTTTGAATTGGATTTTTAATGTTTTTTTATTTGATCTGATTTTTTTATCATAACTTCTTTCATTGAAAAGTATCATTTTCAATAGCTTCCATTTCATGTTACAAAGTGAAACATCACTGGACGAATTGTATTTTAGTGTTTTGTCAGCCTTTCACCTTTTTTATTTTACCTGAAAAGTAAAAAGCTTCCATGTCATATGAAAAGTGACGACAAATCAATGCAGGTACGACGCTGGACGATTAGGCCACATCCATTTTAATTGGATTTGAGTGATTTTTCCAATTTAAATAAACATTTTATTGAAAATTCAACATTTTTCTAAATAAAAAGTCTTGCTTTTTTTGTCAATAGCTTTCAGGTCATGTGACCAAGAGACTCCTAATGAATACAGCATTGTTCTACTACACTGGAAGAGTAGGACATTTATATTATTGGATGTTATTTCCTTTACATATTTTTTCTTTATACCATCAACATAAATGTAGAAGTATTAACATTAGGAGATCATTGATGTGTTTCTTGTAGAACCTTACTTTATGACAGGGAAGATATTGAATATTTTTGTAGTATGTATTTTCAGCGTTGCACTTTCTGGACGTTTCCCTCTCCACAGGCTGCATCATAATTGTAAAGCTCCTTAAGGGAGACAATTATAACCTTCTACATAATCACTGAATGGGGTAACCTGAGTAGAACCGAATAAAAGGATTTCCTCTCATAAGTACTGCGGTGTGAACGCGGCTTATAGGAGGACATGGTAAGACCGCCTTCAGGCCAGCTATCACGCATTCTCAGTTTAACACACGCTAGATGTAATGCATACCTGTGTGAATGGTAGCCTAGCCTGCCAAATGAACTTACAGTAGCGGTGTTAGACTGTTAGTTATTCAACCTCACCTGGTTCTTGAACAGCTAGCTAGAAAACACAAATCAAATTTAATGTGATTGTTTCACAGCGACGACAGTTTTTGATTGTTTTATTTTGATAGTTGTTACCGGAAATATCTGGTGTTGTGGAAATAACGGGTAACCTGCGTGTTTAGTGCCCTCCAGTGGTCACATTGAAGAACTGCAACACTAAAACAAACAATCCCCACACCATGTTATGCATAATGCACTGCACACATTATCCGATTCCCTTACATAACACATTTTGTGACTGGATCATTTGTTTTGAGGTAGACTGATTATTAGAAACAGAAATATTATTGTAAATGTTGGCGTCTGCTTGACTTTACGTGTGGTTGAAAGTGTACTATTTATTCGTGGCTTACTGCTACCATGGGGACACAATGGAGAACTGCAAATAAAGTTTGTTAGGATACTACAGAAAAGACTTCCGGCAAATACTTTCAAAAATAAAATGTCAAATTTGAAACGCAATTCAAAACCGTAATGTAGTCCTACAGACCTTATTTTATGCGTTCAAAGCGATAGACACAGATAAATTAATGTTACCAATGCTAACAGTTTGTATTACTAATAAACTTTGTCATCAAACCGCAGTAAACCGAAATGACACAGTGTCATGTAACAAATGGATGAATGAAATTAAGATTGACATTTTTTTATTAAAGTGGACCTATCATGCTATATTTGAATAATATAGTGTAGGACCATACCTATAGAGTGGCGAAGTCACGCCCACTTACTTCCGGGTAATGGGACCTTATTTCGGAAAAATTATGCATTGAAGTCAATGGGGAGAGAAAACTTATCTTTCGATCCCGTTTGAATTGTGCCATGAATTACACATATGATGTTTGTCAATCTTAAAAAATAATTTCCATGTAAAAAAAGTCACAGTTTGTCGTAAAACTGTTGAAATATAAGACTATGAAAAATACGTAACTAGAAAGACTACAAATCCCAGAGTCGCGTAAGTGATGTCACAATTGTTTTCCTCCACCATTCAGATACCTAAGATCAGCGCAATATAGATATAATCTATCTATATGGCGCTGGCTAAGATAAGATAACTTTAACAAGATGCCTGTGTGCTTAGTACCAGGTTGTTATTATACCAGCAATGGGTCTTGCTCGTTCTTTTGCTTCCCGTCTGATGAAACGACCAGGAGTGGCTTGATCAAGTTAGCCACCTAGCTAGTAGCTAGCACGTTAGTTAGCATTACAGCCTTGTCATTTTTATTAGCCTTAACATGAAGTAACATTAAGTAACCCAAAATGTTAAAGACTAAGAGTAGTAGTCATATTTCGTGAACCCTTTGAATAGTACTGTCACCGGTGTGATCATTCTATAATACACCATTTAAGCCCGGGGGAGAAATGCTAACGCTAACGTTAGCATCGGCGATCTTCTCTACTTCATGCTATCTGCACAAATGGTTGACATTAAACATTAAAACGACCAGGCAGTTCAGAGAGAATCAAAGGAAGACAGGCAGGCAGCTTTGCATGACATTCTTCAGGACGTGTTTCATTCTGGTGATAGTGAGGATAGTCAATCGTTTTGTTGACAAGACAGTAGTGACGGCCATCTTGGTGACGTGTGTTACATAATTTTTCCGAAATAAGGTCCCATGGAGGTCCACCGGAAGGGGAGGGACTTCGCCACTCTATATAAGGCATATTTATACTTTTTTTTTTTCAAAATACCAAACAGATCATGCATTTTAGCCATGCCTCATTTTGCTCAATTTGACATTTTTTTGCTCTGTTTTTGCAAGGGCTGATTCTGTGAGAACAGCACCATCTACAGGCCTGGCATATGTACTACAGCGTCTCCAGCGCTTTCGAATGGCAATGGCCGTGGCTGTCTCCTCCTGATTGGTGGAGTTGGCCCAATAGCCGTAGCGCCACCGTCCTGACGTCAGTAACGTGTTCAAATCTGGATCATTTTTTATCAGATCCGTTGCAGCCCCTTTTTTTAGAGATTTGGGTATGGAGGAAAATAGAGAGGGTTGTGTTTTCTGACACTTGGTGAGTTCCCTGGAACACCGGGGACACATATTCATGTATAAAAGACATTTTGCATGATAGGTCCCCTTTAAGTCATTTGTGAACTTACTCGTTCTTATATTAAAAATAAATAAATAATAACAATACTTTCTGTTATTAGCTATTTTGAGAACTACAACGGTTAAAGAACCAATTTCAAAGAACTACAACTCCCACATACTGAGCCGAGTGACCCATTTCAGTAGCCTAATCGCTGGGTTTAGCCTCCTGTCCCGCTGTGACTTGCTCGGGGGCCTCCTCCCTTAATTCTGTATCAACATTATTTATCGACCAGCTAGTTTTATAGCCTACAGTCTTTATTTCCCATTTCTGCTGCTGTGGAGGACGCTGCTCGCTCTATAGGTTGATAGACTTCAACACCAAAGCAGAACCACAGGCCTCTGAACTTTGATGAATTGAACTCTTTCTGTAAGTACTAACATTGTCTGAAGTACATTATATTCCCATCACAACCTTATTGTATATTGTATCATCTGTGTTGTCACTTTAAATCTACTGTTGGTGAGAATTGACTATCATGGCTTTTTTTGCTTTTTTTATGCCATTTTATATCACAACTTCTCTTTATGACATTATAATCTGACTTATTTTTTTAGAGATGCTATACTTTTACCTTTTATGACTTACTATAGGCCTACTATGATTTTTTAAATATAATTATTCATTATTATATGACATTTAAATGAAATATATGTCATTCCATACTTTGGCATTCTTACGACTTTAAAAAATAAATAAAACCCTTAATGACTTTTGAATTAGATTTTATGATATGCTTAAGACTATTACGCCTTTTACAAATAATATGTTATACTATTTTGACCCACTTACTATGAGATTGTAATGGCATACGCCTATACTATAATAGAACATTTTTCAATTACGTTTTAATGAATTACTATACAATTGGCATTACTGAACACATAAAAAGACATAGCACTAAATATCTTTTCACATTAGCTATGCAAAGGTTTTGGTTCCTTAGCTAGAATGTATTTTATTAGACTTAAACTAACAACTTCAGCGTGAATGCCTATAGACCTGGAACTTCCTACCCATAAACTTTAACATTTATACAACCTAAACATGAGAAATTCCAACATTCATTACATTCATCACTTATTAGGGTTTATATTTAGTTATCGTGTTGTGAATCTCATGACTCTTCACACTCAGTGATTTTTGCTGTTAAAGCGTTCAAGCGTGAATGAAAGGCCACAGTGGATGAATCACTAAACTTGCCGTTGAAGCGGCTAAATATTCCAGTATACGTAAATCAGATTAGAGTTAATATAATCGCTGAACACATACCAAAGTAGCCCTAGTGGTACCATACAGTCGAAGGTTAGCATTTCACATCAAGTGATTCCCTCTCAGGGCCGAAATAGCTACATATATTTTAGAAGATGTACTAGAAAACTGCACTTTGTGGTGGTTCAGTTTTCCTTTTTATGTGAGGTAAATGGCCAAATCAAAAACATAAATTTAAAACATATAGATTTGATAACACATCACAGAGCGAAAAAACAAAGACCACCTATTTTGGGACCAGTTTTCACTGATCATACAGGAAAATAAAGATGATAAACAAAAAAACGAGACACACAAATTGTTCCACGTACATTATTGTCATTATATCATAGTAAAATAAAGCTGCTGCATTTAGTGCAATTTGAGCCTACAGTGCTATGTGTATTTGTATCGGATACAAAAAAGATAATAATTAAGTAAATGACTTGACTTAGCATGTTTGAATTGTAATCACAAAATAAAATGTCATTGTCCAGATTGTACATGATGATGATGATGGTGATGATGATGGGATTCTCTTTCAGAGGTCATAGAGCCATGGGAACCAGGAGGGTGCTGGTGACTGGCTGCTCCTCAGGCATTGGCTTGGCTGTGGCTGCACGGCTGGCCAAAGATGAGCTCAGACGGTTTAAAGGTCAGCCTTTCACTCTCATTATCAAGAAAAAAAGTAGACGATAGAATGAACTATAGCTACTTACAGCAAGTGTTTTCATATTTTATCTGAGGCAGTGGTTGCCACAATGAGGGATCTTGGGAAACGAGGGCCCTTGGAGGAAGCGGCGGGTGACTCCTTAAACAAAACCTTGGAAATCAAACAGTTAGATGCCTGTTCTGAATCCTCCATCAGAGAGTGTGTCAACAGCCTGCCGGACAGACGGGTGGATGTCTCCTTTAATTCACATTCTCATAGACACGTTTTTTAATCTCTCCAAAGTATGACGTTAAATACTCTGCTGTTATAGTGAACAATGCTGGTCTTGGTATGATTGGACCTCTGGAGTGCCAAAGCATTGATGCCATGAAGGAGCTCTTTGACACAAACTTCTTTGGCCTGGCACGTCTGGTGAAAGAGGTCTTCCCTGACATGAAGCGGAGGCAGAGCGGCCATATTGTCGTGATGAGCAGCGGCATGGGAACACAGGGTGCGTTTGTTTGTGTCCCTGAAATTGCACAGAAGCTTATTAAAAAAGAATTAGGAGCTTGTTAACTTGTGTCCTTATGTTTCTACACAGGACTTATTTTCAATGACGTTTATTCAGCCTCCAAATTTGCTGTGGAAGGATTTTGCGAAAGTCTGGCAGTGCAAGCGTTGAAGTTTAACATCAAGTGATTACATTACAAGTCTTGAAAACTGTATCGGCTTTAACAACATAATGCAGCCACCCCACAACTAAAACTTAAGTAACATCACAATATGACTCATTGACTGTAATGTAACTTTTTTATTTACATCTCTGTGTGGTGTATGAAGACGCTGAGAGTATGGATCTTTCAGGGACGGATTTCTTTCGTGAAATGTACCTGCTATACTCTAAAAAGATTTTTGCCTCATTAGGCCAGACACCAGAGGAAGTAGCTGAGGCAAGTGATGACTTTTATTTTTCTATTTCAGATTAGAAGTGATTAAGAATTAGTGGTTTTGCCAGTCCAAATGCATAATGAGGAAGTTAAAATATGTGTCTCTTTTCTTTAGCAAACCGTTAAAGTGATCACAGACAAGGAACCCCCTCTGCGCCACCAGACAAACCGCCTGTACATGCCCATGACTGCACTGAAGCACGCTGATCCCACTGGACGTCTGCCTCTGGATTCCTTCTATAAGATGACCTTTAAACATGACAAAGTGTTCAATGCTACTCTAGCGATGCTGCACTTACTGAAGAGAATAGGAGGGAAGAAATAAAGATTTGATGGCCAGGTTGTATAGACTATAAAAGTTATTCCTAAGGAGACAGTTATAGTAATACAACTTGTCACAGATTTTTAAATATAACTTAACTGTAGGATAATAATATTTATTAACAAGAAGTTTATATGATAAATATGTACAATAACTAATTTACCTCCTTTATTGTTTTTATGTAATTTGTTTTGTTTTAAATGTTTCTATTGGTTTTTACAGGTAAACTTGAGAAAATCATATCGTTATGAAAAAATGAATACAAATCTTGGTGTACAAATTATTTAAAAAAATACGATTTGGCGTAATCGATTGTCTGGAGATCAGATAGGTGTACATTCATCTTTGTGGCAATTAGACAGTACCTTGCGATGGAGTTTAAAATCACGGGAATATTAATTCTAACATTGTTTGTGAATATAATGCACTCAAAGGCCTCAAATTGGATTTCAAACATTGTGTATTAACATCAATTGTGCGGCTTTTGTGTTGGACAGATAATGTTACATTTCAGACTATAAAAATATTAAATAATTAATCATCTAACTGCATTTTGAGTTTTATTTACATAACTATTATAATGATGACCTGAATTAATGATCAACTGATCACTGAAAACCAGAACACAAAAAATGTAGTTCCCTATAGTTTTATTGTAAGTAACTTTACAACTTTTGACTGTAGAAAGAACACAGTGGAAAGCTTTTAGCTTTTAGTATTTCAAACTACCTTTTTAAACAAGTATAGAAATTAATAATGATAATAAAATATCTATGACTAATAACACAAGACAATAAAATATCAGTCACAGCCTCAGTTTCAAATAATGCTAAATGAAGTACATTTTATTTTTGTCCTTTTTAGTACATAACAATCCTTTCAGAAACATAAGAACTACCCAGAAAAAAACATATTTACAAACAGAAGTTGGGAGGTTGAAATGTACAAAACACTTAGTGCGACCTGGTAGAGAAATTGAAAGACCAGTTATATATAAAAATAAAAAACAAACAAAACAGTTTCTTGTTAGTAAAATGTGAACTGTTCATAGGGACAACAACATGTTTCCCAGGTCTGACAAAACAGTAACTGAGGCTATGGTGAACAGGATAAAACAATGAATGAAAGATAAACTCTATGACACAACTAGGGGCAGTGTTAGGCCACCACAACGGTAGTAGCTAGGAATGATGGCCTACTAATTTCTGTTTATGACATCATAAGGTGAAAATGCAATGGTTACTTTTCAAAATGCTACAATTATCAATTGACTTTATGTTGAAATGTCCATACTACGTTAGGGAGAGGATTAACTCTATCCATAAATCTCAGGTCATGTGGGGGTAAAGCGTCGGTCAGACATAATACAAGGTGTCAGCTGGATGACTGGGAGTGTCATCTCAGATTTGTGTAAAAGGTTTAAGGGGGCAGCACTACATAGTAGTGTTCTTTCCTTCAGTCTCTTCTAACAATCATCTTAAGATGCATCTCCACTGCCCCTGGACTGGGAGCTACTGTAGATGCAAGGGAACCGTTCCATTGCATGCCATAAAACACCTCCCTGAGGAGTGACAGGGCGTCAGCAGGCGCAGCCCAGCAGTTACACCCTCACACTGACCACTACTCCACCACAGACACTACCAGAGACCAGGCAAGAGTTTCAACAAGACCTACACTGCTGCAGATAATCCAGGAATGTTTCCATTTAGTCCAGTAAAGGACACTATGTGGACTTCTGCCTGTCTGTCGTCTGTTTCTACTGTGTTGGATGATGCTGCTGAAAGGCACATCGTACACACTTAACAAGACAAGCAGAATGGAGGAATGCTTGCAGGGAAGAGTGATATAAAATAGCAGCTGATAAGCATAGCTTAGTACATCCGAAGTGATATTGAGAAAAGGTATCCATGGTTTTCACAAACAAACAGAGTATAAATCGACCGTAACAAACAAAAAAAAGAACACAAACTAAAGGGCAGTGAGAGGCTGATTTTAAAGGCAAAGCAATACAGGTGACAGTAACATTGGAGGTAAGAGTCCCATAGAAGCAGTGGGAAACAACAGATTACACCTCAACCTGTACTCTTACAAATTACTTTTGAAAGTTCATAGCAACAATTACCATGTATTAAATGCCACCCATATATTATAAATATCCATTGCAGTTATATGTTGTATTTGACCCACACTCGCCCTTTGAGGCTGGTCACTTGAAGTGCTTCAAAGACACTCATCTACATTCTTATTCATAATACTCTTATGGAAAGAAATCAATATCCACAATTCAATCAAATCAGAATATATCACTACTGCTGAGAAACTCTTAATATATATCTGCAAGAACCAGTTTCTCATCTTTACCAGGTGTCGTTGGCCTAAATAAATATCAGTCAATAGAGGTGAAAGTTCCTCTTTCTGTCTGTTAACTTGTCTGAAACATGAATTATATTCCTTTACCATCACTTGCCACGTTGGCTTAATAGAAATGTAGGCATTCAGTATAAAATAGTGGGGGGAGGGGGGGGGTGTGGGTACATTATTTGAGAAGCTAGAACAGAAATACACCTTTAAAAAAAAAGCAATTCAGAGATAAAAACAATAAATAAAAATAAATGAATTCCCTTCAACATTTTACTTTTTTCTCATATCTACTTTTTAAACGTTTGTTAGTTTCCAGGAGAGCACACCTAAGCCTTTGAAATGAAAGACTTGGTTTTCTTCATATACTTTTTTATAATAAAAAACAAGTCCATCTGTGACAGAATTACTTCATTAAATTGTCTGCTGTTTTTTCAGACAACACACATTTCCCTTTACTTTTTTCTCTGCAAAAATCACTAGCAGACGCTCCTTGTGATAAGCATAGTCAATCCAAATCCAATGAAAATCTTGGAAACAGGCTGACACATATAAACAGACAGGCCCGAGAGCCAGTCCACACATTATTTTACCTCAGGTCCCTTTTCAAGCAGGGGCCATGAGATCTTTACGCAAACACCTGCATCTTGCCATTTGCCTCTGGGATTTGAGAAATGTGGGTCTGGGCAGGACCAGCTACTGCTGGGCTTGGTGTAGAATCTGACCAATCAGAGACGCAGTGAGGAGAGGGGCTGGACCAGGGCTCTGGAGACTCTGGGGAGGGGGTCAGGTAGGGGTGCTCACTGGGCAAATGGAGGTAATGCTTGGGCGTGGCATCTAGTGCAGATGAGTAGCTGTGCTGAGAGGGAGGTGTAGGGTAATCCTCCGTTCCTGCAGTGCTGCCACTATGCTGGGAGGGCAGAGCCTGAGAGGGCTGGGCTGCTGGAGGGGCTGCCTGGGGGGGCTGAGCTGGAAGCTGGGGCTGAGAGGGTTGCTGGGGCATCTGCTGCTGCTGGAAGAAGGATGGTGGCGGCTGGGAGGTCTGAGGAGTCGGTGGGGAAGAGGTGCCAATGCGGGCCATGTTCTGCTGGTTGGCGATGGTGTGGTTGAGGAGCTGCTGCTGCTGCTGTTGCTGCTGCTGCTGCTGCTCAGCAATGGAAGGCAGCTTGACTGGGCTGATGGTGGGTGTTGAAGTAACAGGTGTGGGCTGCAGCATGGCGTTACGGTAGAGCTGCTGGTGCATCAGCATGGTCTGCTGCTGCATGGCTGGGCTCTGGGGGTGCATGCCTGCCTGGCCACTCTGCACAAGATTCAAAACCTGCTGACCACACTGAGAGGAAGACATCCGGCTGTGCCAGTCAAAGGGCACACTCACAGGACTGACCAAGCCCATGTTGAGCCCCATCTGGCCTGAACTCATCACATAGCCATGGTTGACATCTGAAGCCATGGAGACACGTCCCTGCAAGGACATTCCTCCAGATCCTAGGTCATTGAGTTGGGCTAGAGACACTGCAAAGGGGCCACTACCATCCAACATGCTACTATGTATCATGGGGGTGTTTGGGACAGACATAGATGTGTGGTAGAGCCCTGGTGACTGCATGGCCACAGGGGAAGTGGGGTTGGTCATGTAGCCAGCATTGCTAGCCCCCCCGTGGGGTGAGTCCAGTGAATCGACCGGGGAAAGGGTAACAGAGCTCTCCAGTAAGGCACTCTGCATGTCCAAGGTCAGCTTCTTATTACGGGCCTTGACTGACTCCTTCAGGCTGGCAGCATGTTGGCCTCCCAGGCTAGAACCCTTAGCACAAGGCCTGCGGTTCTTCTTGCCCTGTGGGGTGTTCTTCAGACTAGGCATGTAGGCGCCCGGAGGGCACATGAGAGGAGACAGAGAGTGTACCCCAGAGAGGTGGTGTCCAATCCCTCCATGGCCCTGGGGGCTTCTTACTGTGTTGTACTCATCAAGAAGCTGCACAATATCGTGGTGCATACGCTCCTGAGCAATGTCCCGTGGCAACCTGTCCATATGGTCTGTGATCTCTCTGTTTGCAAAGTGAGCCAGCAGCACCTTCACAGCCTCACAGCTGCCCTCACGAGCTGCAAGGAACAGTGGGGTCTCCTCCTACAAAGAAAAACAAGGCAACAAATCAAAGAGGTTGTTAGATACAAACAGATTTTATTTGAAGCCTCGCTGATCCAAAAGTGTGGTTAACAGTAAAATGGATGTCATACCTTGAGATCCTGCATGTCCTTGTTTGCACTGTTCTTCAGCAGGGCAACAGTCGCCTCCACATTGTTAACGGCTGCAGCCCAGTGCAAGGCGGATTTACCTAAAACATAAAACAAACATTGAGATTACACATCCATGCTCTCAGTGAATATTATTACAAAACAGAAACAACAGCATCAGGACACCCACTTGAGAGAAGAGTTACAAACTTACCCAATTCATCTACTGCATTGACATCAGCATGACAAGTGATGAGTTCTTCTACCATGCCCTCTACTGCCAGTCGTGCTGCCAGGATCAGCGCAGTGGAGCCATCGTACATACGGGAGTCAAGATCTGTAGCCCGATTTCGGATCAGAATCTAGGAGGATGACATTTTTTTGGGGGGTTAAATATTATGATTTACGCAATACATGTGCTTACATTTGTTATAGGCATTTCTAACACCGCCAATAAAAAGTACATGTTGTTTACCTGGAAGACCCCCTGTGCATCTGCGGCCACTGCAGCATGTAGAGGTGAGCGACCGGTGTTATCCTGAGCATTAGCATCTGCACCAGCATCCAGCAGCCTCTTAGCAGCATCAGCACGGGCGTAGCGAGCAGCCAGGTGGAGCGCTGTCTCCCCAGTTCGGTCTGTTTGGGCAGCTAGGGAAGCTCCCTGGTAGATTAGGTCAGAGATGATGTTGGCAGAACACTCCTCACTCTCCTCCTCCTCTGTCACCTCAGGCTCTAAGCCGCCTCCACAGAATGATGCCAGCATCAGAGGTGTAAAACCATCTGGTATGAGATGAAAACAGTGGGTTAGATTGTATCTGTTCAAGAGTTCAAAATAACAGATCATTCATCTTAAAGTTACCAACCTGGGCCTCGGACATTAACATCCATGCAGTCACTTTCAAATTCTCCTTGGGGTGGGGTGAGGGCCATAGTGGGAGGCACACGGATATCTGCAGCTGCGAGGTGATGCTGTGTCCACTGCCTGCAGTCCACTGCATCTTCACTGTCTGAGAGCATACTTGGCTCCTCAACCTGAACTCACAGAAGGAGAGAATTTAATTTCAATATTTAATGCAAGCTTCAATCACAATCCTGTGATAAATTGTATGTACACATTTGTGTGCTTGCGTCTAAGTAAATTGCCATTTTTAAATGTTAAGACAATGTGTAACTGACCTTAAGCCTTTTTGCCTCTGGACAGTCTGTGTCCATCCACTGGTCACTGTGATCACCAAGGAGAGATTCTTCCGCAGTTTTTGCCATGTGTCTGTTAAAGGACAAATATGGTAAACAAAGTAAGACACAAAGAAAACCAATACAATTTCAAAATGAACCCCTTACAGAATTCCCACTTAAATTGCTTATGAAATTCAGACCTTATAATACCACATAATTGCAAACAAATAACTTACTTCATTCCAAGAGCATCCTGACCCACAGGTTCCCTGCGGTTTTTGTTGCTGCTGGGTTCCTTCTTTAAGAAGAAGCCCTCAGGGAACCAAAGGGTACTGTGTTCTCTCTTTCTACGAGCAATCAACATTCCTAGCACCAGGATGACCATAAGGAAAAGGGAAGCTAACCCGACCAGCATCAGCTTGGCCCATTGAGGTATTGGGTCAGGATGGGGATCCCTTTCAACACCTGTCATGACAAGAGAAACTAATTAGCACACCTGTACTTTCTTTGTCTTACAAGTTTAAATTGTGGCCTTTAAGTATCCCTACTCACCAACGGCTTCTTTGATTGGGTATGGGAAGCGAAGCATTTCTACAGCTGACAGAGCTCCCAGGTAGTCTGCAGCTCTTTCAGCTGTTGGGAAACAGCCCTCAGAGCTCTGAGCGGCGCACAGACGGTTGTCTATTTCCAAGTACACTATGGATCTACAAAAATAGCAGACAGGCAGGTATTTAGTGTAATGTTCAATGTATAAGAAAAACATAATATTTGATGTTTACTGTATGTCTGACTGACCCGATGACCTCCTGTTTAGGCTGCAGCTCCCGCTTGAGGCGTGCCCCGCGAGTGTATGGGTGGATCTTGGCATCTCCATTCCCGTCCAGCTGGAAGCGCAGTGAGGTGTGTAGGATAGCACTTAATTTCTGCAGAAAAGCTGTGCTGGTGCGTTGAAGCTCCTCGGGGGGAAGTAGGACTACCAAAACCAAGACACCATCAGCAAGGACTTCTGGAACCTTCTTTGCACAGTCCAAACCATCCCAGCCACACTCCACTGAGTTACAGCCGGGGTCACACTCTCCATTAGCGTAGTGGTCTATACAGTAGGCTTCATACACTGGACTGGAGACGACACAAAGAAAAGAATCAGCTTGAGATTTCTCGGATAAGTACAGAAAAAACGAGGGAATCAAATTAAGAGTAAAAGTAAACTTACTTGCAAACTTTCTCCTTGTTCATGCAGTCAAAGTTGTCATACAGACAATCAGCGTTGTTGCAGGACTCATCACACTGGCTGTTGTTAAAGACACTCCAACATTGTGAACATTGAGCCCAGGGGTTTTTTGATGTAAGAGAACAGTCCCCGCCGTCCCAGTCACAAAAGAAAGTGTTACATTCCTTGTCGCAAACATCATCTTTGGCTTTGCTACGACAGTCTGCTAGAGGGCATATGGGTACTTGAGGCTTGTTGGGCATGATGTCCTCACACCGTTTCCCTGTCCAGCCACTGGGACACTGGCAGTGAAAGTACGGGAAGCTTGTTTCTTCAGTGCACAACCCTCCATTCCGGCAGGGCTTGGAGGAACAGCCTTCATTGCTGCGATGCTGGCACTGGGGTCCACCATAACCTGGATGGCAGGTGCAACGCGCCCCCCTTTGGGTGAGTGCACAGCTACCACCATGGTAGCAGGGCAGCTCCCGACAGGACATGCTTCTTTCACAATTAAGCCCAGCATAACCCTAAAAATAGCCAAAATGTAAGCAATTAGTTTGTAAGCTTTCAATACACAAATAATGAAAGCTGTGATGTATAAACTCCAAATAGTTTTTTGAATACTTAATGTGAATGTACACTTACAAGCTGACATGTGCAGGTGTATCCCATTGCAGAGCTGCTGGATACAGAACACACTCCTCCACTCTGACAAGGTTGAGACTCACACACACTGAAACTGTTCTGACACTTTCGGCCAGTGAAGCCAGGTTTGCAGACACATTGGTAGTCATTTGGCAACTGGATGCAGTCAAGACTGTTGGGGGGACTGCAGGGGTTGGAGAGACACTCGTTTATGTCTCCCTCACATCTTTCTCCTTTAAATCCAGGGGGACAGTTGCAGCGGTATCCACCCACTCTGTCCACACAGGTGCCATTGTTAAGGCATTTAGGAGGAGCACTGCGCAGCCTCAGAGGTAGAGCACAGTCATCTTCATTTATCTCACAGAGAACACCTTAAAAAAAGAGGATTGTTAAATATTATTATATTTTCCAGTAATTTGTTGTAAAATATCTTAAAAGTGCCACTCGAAATATTGTTTCTGTTAAATATGTGCTAACATACCAAGTGTGCCAGGCGGACAGGAGCAGATATAATGTCCCACCAGATCAATGCAAGTGCCTCCATTCTGGCAAGGATGAGATTGGCACTCATTGATCTCTATCTCGCAGTTCTGTCCAGTAAATCCTGGCATACACTGTAAAGGCATACAGAAGACAATGACATTACTTCAACAATTGTGATGCAGCACTGTGTGAATACTGACTTAATCTGACAAAGACGCACATAATATAGATTTTTTTTAACTTACATCACACTGGTACCCTCCCACATATCCCCTGCAGGTGGCGCCATTGCGGCAGGGTTTGTCTTCACAGTGGTCTACCTGGGTTTTACAATAGCTTCCTGTGTAGTCAGTGGGGCATTTACAATAGTGGGAATTCCCAGTGTTGACACAGTGACCACCATGGAGGCACAGCTCATCTGTCTGGAGCCCTGATTGGAAGAAATGTTGACTTTAAACACTGTTACAACACAACACAAACGTTAAATGTAATTCGTTTTCCACATACCTCTTTTGCGTGCGGCTGTCTCACAAGAGACCCTGGAGATGTCACAGTCACGTCCAGACCAGCCGTTAGTACATTCACAGGTGAAGGAAGCATCCTTTTGGCGACAGCGTCCTCCATTTTCGCAGGTAGATGGGCGTCTGCACCAATCGACAGGTGTCTGGATAGCCAGAAGACAAAATTGTCAGGATGTATTTTACTTAAAACATGAAGCGATGAAGACTCAAGGAACATAACAAGATATTTTTAAGAAGAACCAATGAGTGTTTACCTGGCAGCGGGAGCCAGTATAGCCCTTGGGGCAGGAGCAGCGGAAGGACTCTAGGGCATCTTGACAGATGCCTGCATTGAGGCAGGGCTGGGAGTCACACTCGTTGACCTCGTATTGGCAGTGGGAGCCAGTGAAGCCTGAGCGGCAGTTACAGGAATAGCCGTTGATCTTATCTGTGCAAGAACCTCCATTGAAACAAGAGCTGTGGAAATGAACACATTTTATTGTCATATTCAGTAATTATACACATGTGAACAGGTTTAAAAGCAATGTAAAATATACACTCACCTTTCAGTGCAATCAGGGATGTTGGTTTCGCAGTGGTTGCCAGTAAAGCCCGGCTTGCAGGTGCAGGTGTAGGAGTTAACATAGTCTGTGCATGTGCCTCCATTTTTGCACGGCGAACTCTGGCATTCATTGATCTCTAAAGCACAGCGGGGCCCAGTGAAGCCTGCCAAGCAGCTACAGTGGAAGGAGTTCACAGCGTCTGTGCAGGAACCTCCACTTAGGCATGGATCTGATGCAATAAAGAGAGGAAGACTTTGGTCAAGAACAGTATTCATAGTCTTGGTATTCGTTTTTTACAGCAACAGGCAATTCAGCACGCTTTGTTTATGTGGCCACTTACTAGGAGTACAGTCGTTGACGTCTGTTTCACATGTTAGCCCAGTAAATCCAGCTCTGCAGGAGCACACAAAGCCTCCAAGTGTGTTAGTGCAGGTCCCACGATTCTTGCAGGGGTTGGAGATGCATTCATTTACATCCACATTACACAATTGACCTGAAGAATGAAAAAAAAAAAGGGTACAATAAGGTTTAATTCCAGATAATGGGAGTTTATTTATTAAGACTTTCTGTAAGATTCAAGAAAGATTATTTTAAAAATAAACAAGTACGCAGTTATCTTACCTTGCCAACCTGTCTGACAGTTGCATTGATAGCCCAAGTAATCTGGTGTGTGTGTGCAGAGGGCATGATTGGCACAGGGGTTAGGGGAGCAAGGGGTGAGGACCTCAGCACAAGTGGGTCCATTGTAAGGAAGCTCACACAGACAGGTGAAGCTTGCTACACCGTCCACACAAGTGCCCTTGTTCAGACAGGGACTGGAAGCACATTCGTTGATGTTCATCTGGCATAGGTTACCTGACGGGCAGAAAAGACATTACATAAATTAGAATCAGCCTAAAATGTTGCCTAACAATATGTTTTAACACCACTAGGGGGAGGTAGACAAGAGGAGGAAAACTCTGGAAAACATTGGAGAAATATTTTTAACTACAAGATGTAGATAAAGTATATTAGATACTTAGTAAATTCTTAAATTAATGCATATGTGGCAGTTTGCTTCTTATGTATTACCTCTGAAGCCTTGGCGACACTTGCAGGTGAAGCCATTGAGCTGGTCGATGCATGTGCCAGCATTCTGGCAGGGACTCGGCAAACAGTCGTTCCTGTCTAGATCACAGTTCTTCCCGACCCATCCAGGCTCACAGTCACAGCGGTACCTAGAAAATATAGGGTTACAGTCAATAATCCCAAAAATGTCCAAGTTATGCATGATACAATGAACTGAGTTGAAACTTGTAGAATTAGCAACAAGCTAGAGAACAGTTCATACCCATTAATGTCATCCCTGCATGAGCCATGGACACATGGGCTGCTGCCACACTCGTCCACCTGGGAGTAACAGTATGGAGGCTTAAAGCCCTCTGGACACTGGCAGTGAAATCCATTCTCTTCATCCACACATGTCCCCCCATTTCTACAGGGGCTGGATGAGCACTCATCTATCTCCATATTACACTTGGAACCTGGCAAGAGAGATGTTAGAAATCAATCAGACGTGTGTTTGTTAACATTTCCACTGAGGATTGTTTTCACATTTCGAATTTGTATTTTATTTTGATTGGGCCTTACCAGTGAAGCCAGGTTTGCAAACACAGTCATATCGGTTGATGCCATCTTTGCAAATACCATAGTCACATGGGTTACTGGAGCAATCATCAAAGTTTATTTCACAGTTTGTGCCTGTTTTGACAAAAGGTTAGAGTTCCATTAAGAAAGGAATACACTTCAGTACAGAAAAGGTCAATCAAAATGATAAGACATTATGAAACGTTTATTCTATATAATTTATCACCCTCAACAGACTTATTGTTTGCAGATGTTTGAGCATACTGTACACCTACAGTTGCACTGAATTTTCTCTAAATGTTGGCTAGCTTTTATTTCTTTTAAATTAATAATTGAAAGGTTTGCATTAACAATGTCAGACTATTGTGATTTCCTCTTACCTGATGTCCCATGTTGACACTGGCAGATGTACTTGTTGACTAGATCCACACACTTTCCCCCATTCTGACAAGGGTTGCTGTGGCACTCATTGAGCTGGTTCTCACAGCGATAGCCTGTGTAGCCAGCATCACAGTTACAGCTGTAGCTGGCAATACCATCAATGCAAGTACCATGGTGGCATGGGTCGGGCTGACAGTTGTTGATGTTACTGTCACAGAGTGTCCCCTCATAACCTGAAAAGCCCAAATGGAGATTGATGTTAAGGTATCTATGTCATTTGACGGAGCAAAGCCTTTTATTTGAATTTATTAGTTATTTAATTGAACTTCCGCGGTCTGTTTCCCAGTTTTTCTTTATAAAAGAGTCTACAGTTTGGGGTTCTAATTACTGTGGTTTCCATGTCGACAGTGTCTGTGTGTTGGGAAAGCAAGGGTTGGTTTGTGTGGTGTGTGTGTAGTGCAGTGCTGAGTTGGGTAAAGCAGTAAAGAAGGGCCCTACACAGGCCTCCCAGGCCTGCTTTTGTTCTCAGTGGCGGAGGGAACAATAGACTGCCCCACGTCAAACAGAGCCACTTCACTCAACAGAAGGGGCCCACAAACACAGGGAATACCAAGCAGCTGGCCACTGAAACAATGAAACAGGCTCCTCTGTAGGCTTGGGTCCAAAAGAACATGTTAAATATCAATGTATACTCCAAGTTAGTTCATACATACAGCCTTTGTGAAGATAAACGTTTTCACTGCATCTCTTTATCTATGAATATGACTGAATGTGAAGGAATGAAAGTTAAGATGTGACAGAAGGTGGTTTGTAGGGGTTTAACAGATGAACAGATGTCGGGGTGATGACCAAGGCTGCTGGTCCTCAGTGACCCCATGATCCTGAGACCGACGAGGGAAAGAGGGGGATTAGGGGCCTCAAGTCAGTCTGCTTGGCCAGCAGACAACCATCGAAAAAGCTGACCCCCTCAAAACACTGAACATTTAACAAAGACCAAACAGCCCAACAAGTGTTTAAGGATCATCTGCTCTTCTGCCTGGGAAGACATATTGGATATTGTCTAACAACCATCAACTAATATTAGGTACAGAAGCCCTTACCTTCAGAACAGCGGCACTCGAACCCATTTGGTCTGTCGTAGCATTTTGCCCCATTCTGGCATGGCGTGCTGGCGCACTCATCGATGTCGATCTGACACATGGTGCCAGTAAACCCTGGGACATGCAAACACAGAGGTGAAGGGTCAGAAAGAGGGTCCAGTGGAATGGTCCACGCTCAGGTCAGAGGGCAGTTCTGTCCCTTCTTAGAAGGCCAGAGGTCTTTTGCTAGGTTAGTGACGTCTGGCTTAGGTTGGGTTTGAGAGCGTCGCGACTGGTTATTTGTGCACTTGGACCAATGCTAATATGACCACTACATGCAAATGCATTGGGAAACAGGTGACCTTGATAATGTTTGTGAGGGAGGACTAACAAATGTAATGCCTACAAATGAATATTAAAATAAATGTATATTGCTATCTGGTGATATTAAAATATCTGAGCAGCAAAATGCCACATATGCAGTCTAAGCTCAATTAAGGTCGTTGTACAGGAATGTCTGGACTCTGGTGAAGGTACTTTTTTTTTTAAACAGTTAAATGTAACTTTAACAATAATAATAATAATAATAATAATAATAATAATAATAATAATAATAATAATAATAATAATAATAATAATAATAACAATAATAGTAATAGTAATAATAATAAAAACAAGAGTAAGGATATGTTAATTCTACAGGCTTGAAAAGCTTGAGAAACTTAGCAGGCTTGAAATCGGTGGGCACAGTGCCCAGACAGGGGTGAATTGGTGCATTGGTAGCACACTGCTCAGTTGATTAACAGTGTCAGGATGGTCTGTGTGTTGGTGCTTGGACTGCAAAAGGGGGGGTTCAGAGGAGACAGTGGGATTGTTTTCTCTTTTAGGGACCCCCACTCCCCCTGCTCCCCTTCCTGCATCAGCTCCACCGGCTCAATAGCTAGATGGGGGGGGGGGGGTGGAGAGGGGACGTCTGTCCCAGATGTAAATTGAGGACCTGGAAAAGAATCTCATTAGCAGGACTGCTGTTCCCCACCACCGCCAGGGCAAGACGAGGGAGACTGCTGTCCCTTCCACATTCCACAGAGGAGGGGAGCGGGGGTCACAATAGTGTCTTTGTTCAGGCAAGAGGAGAGGATAGGCAGCCTTGTGGGTCTGCCTTTTCATACGAGTGGTGCTTCTAAACACCAGCAGGCAAAAGAAGCCAGGCTGACCCTCCCTTCTCTGGTTCTGGGGACATTTAAACTTTAGCTCTCTGTTCTGACTGCTGCTGTCACTGAGTTAGAGTTGTGAACAGGGCTAGAAATAAACAAAGGTAAATGGGAAAAACGTTTTGGTGGATAAGTCTTACCTGGCTGGCAGGTGCATGTGAAGCCATTGACCATGTCCCGACAGATACCATCATTCACACATGGGTTGCTCTCACAGTCGTCAACGTCTACCTCACAGTACGTTCCCATGTAACCTGAGAAAAGAAGATCACAATGAGTTGACATTTTTTGAGAAGTGGAAGCAGATTTACTATGATTAGATCTTTATGTAACGTTATGTCAGTTCAAGCCAGCGTGCTGTGAATGTAATTGCTTGTACTGTGTGCAGCTGATAAAATGATCTGTGGGAATCATTTCTATTTTTGACATGGGTCTCTGCTGAACCACAGGATGAAATAAAAGACTCTTGGAGCATCCCCAGTGTTCCCACTCTACTGACTTAGAATCACCACAACCTACTGTCCATGGAGCATTACCCCTCCCTGGGTCAATGTCCCATTCACAAGATGCATGTTATACATTCTGCATTAGCAAACTTTGGAGGGTTCCTTCATTGAGGTGAAACAGAGTGTGGAACAGAGTGGTGGGAGAGGCTAGCGTGGAATCAGAAATAATCAGCAACTCCACATGAGCTTTGCCAGGCTGGCTGATGATGAGGAGGGTGAAGAGGAAGGGTATGTCTCTGGAAATGAAGGGGGAGGGGGATAGGCTCTGGGAAAAGGCCTCTTTCCCTCTCCGTGTATGAGGGGTGCAAAGTGGAGCACAGAGGGGCCCTATTGTTCCTCTCTATTCCCACCACTCTACCACTCATTAGTATTCACAGCACACTCCTCCCCCTAACTGCTCGCCCTCTCTCACATACAGTCCTATAGACCCGACTCCCAGCTCTAATTTGTATAGTTCCCAAAACCCCAGGATGCATGTAGGTCTGTGCGTGAGAGTTTCACTGTGTTTTTGTCACTGAGGGTCCAAACCATCACTTAGTCCAAACTAATACCCTGTCTGGCTGTACACTGCACAGAGAGTGCAGCAGTGCCTCCATACCCCCAGTGTCAATGGAAATTCATTACATAACAGTCTACACTGGCAGTCTGTATGGAAGAACTGCATGATGCTTCAGCAAGTTGTTCTCCTCTGCTATTGGTTTAGGCTGGAAGACAACATGCTGAATTGATGTTCTGTATTGTTTTATTGTACAGTAGTAAATTACAACCAATCAAGCCTTAATACCTGGCATGCAGATGCAGGTGAACTCTCCAATGCGGTCCAGGCAAGTGGCATCATTCTGGCAGGGCATGGAGAGGCATTCATTGATGTCAATCTCACACCGTGGACCGGCATATCCTCGGCCACACTGACACTGGAAGGAGCCCTCTGTGTTTACACATTTTCCAAAATGCTCACATGGGTTGGCACCTGCAGGGACAAGTATTCATATCAGTATACCATACACAGCCAGAAGGAAAAGGAAAGCGATGAGAATATAACCACAGTACTGACAATTGTAAGGAAAAAAAATCTAAATTACCAATCGAACACTCATCCATGTCCTGGTTGCATGCACCTCCTACAAAGCCGGCGGGACAGGTACAAATGGCGCGGCCGTTGAGGGGGTTGGTGTCGCACACTGCCCCCTCGTTGCAGGGGTTACTCACACATGCATCGTCAAGGTGGCACAGCAAACCTGTGGAGAAATTCAAAAAAGAAAACGCATGAAATCAACAATTTAGCAGCCAGGAACAATAATGGCACAGAGACCAACAGATAAAACCACTAACCTGTCTTTCCAACTGGACACTCGCAGAAGAAGGATGCCACACGGTCATGGCAGGTGGCCCCAAAGAAACAAACAGCTATGGCGCAGTCATCAATGTTCTCACTGCAGTCATCTCCAGTCCAACCATTCACGCAGACACATGTATGACTACCAATGGTGTTGAAGCAAGTACCCCCATTATGGCAGGCGTTTGGTTGCATGAGACACTCGTTGACATCCTCAGCACAGTATTGCCCTATTGTGATTAGATGAGATTTTGTATCACACATCTGTTTATATATAAATGTACATATTTCAAGTTTATTTCAAATAGGATGTAAATTGAGCTGTACCTGTCCATTCTGGTGCGCACTGACAATTGTACGTGTTGACTCCATCTACACATATTCCTCCATTCATACACTTGTGTCCTGGACAGTCATCCACATTATTCTCACAGTTGTGTCCCTGGAACCCTGAGCCAGATGGAGAGACAAAAAAGAGTTATTATACACAGACACAGTAACACACACTAGCGGACAGTTTATTAAACATTCAGTGGTTCCTGTTCCAAACACTAAACATCCCTACTCATGACCTTGAGTTATATTTCCCACACTAGAGGAGGTGTAGGGCAATGTGGGCAATAAAAAGGTTCAGAGGGTGTCTGATTGTTTACATGTTCTCATGATGGTTCCCACACGATGCCAGCATCAGCCATGACTCCTGCCTGCTTCAGGGGTCTGCACTCCCTGCAGTGTTTGCTTATTTTATAATCTCTCACAGTTTCAATGACTTCCTCTCTGGCAAGAGACATTTCCTGTCAGCTCCCCAGTGGGAAACCAGAAGGCCCATAAAGTAAATTCCTTCTGTTGTGAAAAGAGCAGAGTGGAGTAGAGTGACGGCGGGCTGCCTCTTCAACTCTCCCACCATCCCATCTCACATCTGTAGCTATTAATAGCAGAAAGAAAGCTGACCTGGGAGAGAGGCGTAAATCCCAGCAACAACACTAAAAGCTACGTCATCAGCCTGGGAATATATGTATGCCTGTAGCACTGTGCAGAGGGCCTGGGAAAAACCTGACAGTTGATGATTTTGTGTGTGTGTGTGTGTGTGTTCTATACTGCTGGTACCTGGTAGGCAAGCACACTCGTAGGAATGGTCGCTGGTCTGTCGACAGGTGCCCCCGTTCATGCACTGAGATGGGGCACAGGGAAGGACGGACACTTCACATGTGCGCCCACTGTATCCAGGTTGGCACTGGCATCGGAAGGACCCATGGGTGTTCATGCAGAGGCCACCATTGAGGCACATGCCAGGCTTGCGGCACTCGTCAATGTCACTGCGGCAGTTCTTTCCCTGGAAGCCAGGTGGGCAGGAACAGTTGTAGTGGTTATTCCAATGGGCACAACGGGCTCCATTGGCACAGGGACTTGTGGCACATGCGTCAATGAGGGAGCAGTCTTTGCCTGGAGATTGGAAAATGAATGTTATTAGTAAAAATAGAAACTTTTAATCACCCTTCTGAAATCTGAACTTTCTAATGAAGACAAACTCTGATAGATGTACCTCTGAACCCTCTTTGGCACACACAGGTGAATTGTGGGATACCATTGACCACCTGGCTCTTGCAAGCTGCTCCGTTCAGACATGGCGATTGATAACAGGGATCCAGTTGCTTACACAGAGGACCAATGAATCCTGGACGACATCTAGACAACAGATTCAAACACACACAACACATTAGGATATATTTGGCCTGCAGGTCAAAACAGGTCACAAGGTATTTAAGACAGAGCTGTGACTCAAACTCCAGCATACCCTAAGTCCCTCATGTTCTTGGTTTGGCAATCTGGGCCCCAAAGAGGCCTTGGCAAGGCCCGCTGCCTGACTCATACATTGGCTTAAAAGATGCTTCTGGGACCTGGAATTAATTTGTCATAACAAAGCTTGCCCCATAAGTACTTATCATGCAATGAATTGTTTATGGATAGAGGCAGGCAACCCGTAGGTGTCTTATAGGCTTCAAAAGGAATATTCTATGGTTATTTCCAGCCGAAAAGCCTCAGTTTCTCAATGTCAGCTAACATTGTTCCACAGTTAACGTTTTTTTCTCCAAGCTCAGCTCTTGTTTCTGTTCTCATATATTAGAGGAACACACCCAGAAACAGCATTCTGGAAACATAACATTTGCCAAAAAATACTGACATGAGAAAAACAAGGATTACACACGGAACACATGAGACGAATTCAAGCAGCAGCTGTGGTATTTGATTGAAACAACATATCCTCCTTCTAGTGACTACATTCTGATACAACGGAGCATTGTGCATGGGACATTAACGCCTTGTCCACACATAAAGCGTTTCAGACACATTTTGTGCATCTGTCTCACATATCTCTGACGGAACAGATAGGCTATTTTGGAGATTTGTTCTGCTTCAAGTCTATTTTTCTTTGTCCGTAGCTACAATGATTTTGTATGGGCTTCTCAGCGCTGCCAAAACACAGGTAACCCACACTCAATGCTGGGCCTAAATGTATCCTATGTAGAAACATTTGGGGGGCTGAGCTGTTCCTGCTGCTTGGCAAACAAGCTGCTTTTGATACACGGGCTACGTAGACATGGTATAAGCCTGACCTAAACCTGCTCCACCAAGAAGTTGAGATAAAAACACAAACAGAGCGTCCTATAGCCCTCTGCAGAGGTCCTAAGGGAGAGATGGTTTGGACTAACTGTCCAGTATGAGCTTGTAACTTTATATCCACAGTAGAGCCCCTGGCTGGGAACAAGCCCCCTCTTCAAACAGGCTGTTTGATGCTGATGACAAGGCAGTGACGGCTGGGTTTTCGCCCGCCCTTGGGCTCTGTCTTTTCTTTCATTTGAGCGGAACCCCTGGGCAGGATAAACAATGGGTTTTCATCTATTCTCTTTTACAGGAGCATCACCACTAAACTGGTATTTGTTCATTCTTTACTTTTTTGATGTGCCCTCCCCCACTAATAAACTATAACAAAGACTAAAACAATTTTGAGACCCTTTCCCCTGGCTAGAAGCTACAAAGATGTCCACTGAAATTGCCTGCTTTATTTCTGACTGCTCAGTAAAACTAGAGCCTACGAATAATTTAGCGTTTTTCTAGCTTTAAAGGCAATAGCGAATTGTAGGAGCCACAGGGCTAAACATGAAGAAAGTAGGTATACAGACACAATATACACCAAAACAGAGCAGAAAAAGTAGTATGTCTCCAAAGTACTAGTTTGTTGATGTATAAATAGTATTTAAGTATCAAAACAACAGAAAATGCTGTCGGGAGTGTAGCTTTGTCCTATGGTCAGCACTGAGAGACTGCATTCTGGTGTGGAAGTTAAGTAAAGCCGCTCTGGCGCACCAATGTTGAAAGAGTTATTCAGACAGTTATAACAACTATGCTACCATCTCCTAAAGCCCCCCTGAACGCCAGCTTGGCTCCCCCCCCTCCCCCCCACTCCAACAGCCCCCTCCTCTCACGCGCTGAGAGGTCAAATGTCAGAGGTCCCCCGTCTGATTGTGATGATAATGTCACTCAGGCTGCAGGGAGTGGGGTGGGGCTGCTCTCCAGGAGAGAATGTCTTAGAAGTTGGAATTGGCGTAAAGTCAGAATAAGAGAAGGAAAGAGTGGTCAGTTTTAGCAAGAATGTCATGTCATATTTCCTGTAATCCCTTGTCCCTTGCAATGAAAACACTGCACTCACTCCGAATGCACGATCCATGTTGCCCTAGCAACCTCACAGACGAACAAGCAAGCCTGACACCCAACCAAACATCCCTCCCCACCCCCCACCATTGGTCCCCATGGCTATTTGTCATGGCTTGGCTGGGTTTATTTAGAGGCAAATTAACTATGTCTGGAATCTAGGGTGTCACTAAAAATGAAACACAAACGTGGCACAAAGAGGGATTTGAAAAGGCTGAGAAAGAAAGTTGCTTATAGAGCTGAAAAATACTAGGGTAACAGTCAGCCACTTTGTTGCACTGTGGACATTTCTTCTCACTAAACCAAGGCTTTGTGGACAGAAAATAACGTACAACTAATTTGAAGAAATATTATCCAAGTGTGTTCAGCGCATTGGTGTGTCTGTGTGGGTGGTTGTGTAAGAATGCCGGTAGTAGTTATGCCTGATAAATAATTTGTCCTCCATTGCAAATGCAAACCCAACCGAGCAGCCAAAACACACATTCTTTTGTCTAGACCTGACTCATTGCCAACATGCTACTCCCATAACAAACAAATCAGAATGCTATCAGTGCAGAGACTGTGAGAGACATGGAACTTTGCCCTGGTGCACCTGAGAGTCTCCTTATCAGACTCTTTACAACCTTGTGGATTCCACCGCTTTTCTGGGAACAGAGAGGCAGGAACTAGGCCTGGCCTTATTTGTGGCGGATGTAGGAGGCAGGTGCAGGCTGCTGTTGTGCAATGGGCCCCTGAGTCATATTTAGTGAGTGTCGACTTCTGACCTTTGAGGAAGACAGTGCAGCAGACGAAGAGGTGGTCTTTAAGTGCAGCGGAGGGGCGGCCAGAATGGGTAATCTCTGAGTTTAACTTTTGAGGACTTTTGCCAGCTGCAGCACCGGCACCAAGCATCTGTCCGCATCTGTCAATGAACTTCTGTGTGTCTGGCATCTAACTCCCCTGCCAGACTTTAAGCCAAACATTTTTTCTGTTTTGCTCATGGGAAAAGCCCAGTAACCCACACACCAACACACACACACACACACACACACACACACACACACACACACACACACACACACACACACCACCACACACACACACACACACACACACACACACACACACACACAGACACCACACACACACACACCACACACACACACACACACCACACACACACACACACACACACACACACACACACACACACACAACACACACACCACACACACACCACACACACACACACACACACACACACACACACACACACACACACACACACACACACACACACACACACACACACACACACACACACACACACACACACACACACACACACACACTGGCCATTTCACAACACTCAAGAGATGTGATCATCATTCACAAACACATGCATTAACAGATCTTCTTAACAGACTTTAAGGATTGTAACAGGAAAGCACCACTGCAACAAAGCAAACACATGCAACAATCAATGCACGCCCAAACACAGGGAGAAGAAACTTACACCCAGCCTCAGCCTCTTGTGAACCGATAAAAGAGAAGATCCAAAGACAAAAGTAATAAAAGAAGAAAGAAAGAGATTGCATTTGTTAAACATTTAAGGGAAACAGTTTAAAGCAGAGTTTAATGTGCAGATAACCTTACAAAACATTTTGAAATTGAAATATGACATTCCAGCACTGTGATTTCTCAAGTGTTCTGTATCGAGTGTGCGGATCGTCTGTCTAAAACTGTTTGATTTATGCTAGTAGATTCCATCAGCTAAACTTGTGTAACACAATGCCAGTTTTCCTGCTTTCTGGGTCACTGAAGCAGGGTAACCTGAGCTCATCCTCTCCTATACAATAGCAGCTACTCTGCCAGAGGTCAGAGGGTGGCTCACCTGTGAACAAAGAGGCTGTAATCTCTGACACGGTTCTTACACACTGTCATGCTCCACAAAGCAACAAGTATAAGGACTCTTCCTATCTCAGAGGGCATTTCCTAAAACTAACGGAGAGGAAGAGCTACTACAACGGAACTACCATCCTTTGACTTGGTGCAAGATTTCAACTCCTACATGTTATGAGATGAGCTGATCAAAGTTAAAGCAATTATTTAGGAAAAAAGACAAATTTGGATTTTTTTGGAACGCTTCGAACAGTGTCTCTTTCTCTCAAAACATTTTCCCCTTTTTCTACAAGCAAGCAAGAACTAGCTCTACTTCTTTATGCAAGTCCATAATGACACCACACTGCCAACAGGAGCCCATCCACATCCCCCCCTCCTTCCAGCAGCCTCTTCTGCACTGCTCTCCCCAGCTTGGCTCTCCCTTTCTCAGCAAAGAGCCAGATTGGGGGTTGGGGAGTGTTTTGTGGCCCAAATAAAAGAGCCAAAGTAGTCAGAACTCCTTTGTATAAAAGTGTTGGGGGGGAGCAGTGACCCAAACAGCTAGTCTTTCAGGCCTGGGCTTACACGGACCAACAGGCCTGGGCTGTAGCCTGGCAACAGTAACCCATGGTGAGAGAGAGCTGCACTGAGAAAAAGGGGGTGTTGGGAGACAGGGTTTCATAAGGACAGTTGGAGCACTTCAGAGGACTGATCCTCTTCATATGAAGGTAGCACTGAGCGGCGTGCGGGACCAATTCAGTGTGGTAATTAAGCATGATCATGTCTAAAAGGATGCATGTTTCACAGTTTAAAGTGCAACGTGTGTTCCAACAATTGTGCTTAAGGCATACAATGAAGGTATTGAAATCTCCAGAAGGAGGTTTTCATAGCACCCCCAGAGCATGAATATTAAACATGTGAATGTAAGGACATTTTATTTTCTCTCAAGTAAGAGCAGTGATGAATGTGACTGAAAAGTTCGCATTTCAGTGTGTTTCTCCATTTGTCCTTCAGCACTCACATTTACATGTATAAAACTTTCAATATAGAATGCCAAAGAAATGTCCTGCATTTCCTTGGCAGAGGGGGACTGAACAGATTGCCTGCAAGAGAAT